AAACATTTAGTCTCTACACCGACAGCATTCAAACATGTGCTCGTAAGATGTGAGGTCGCTGCGATCTCGGCCTCGTCCAGGGTCGGTACTAATTGGAGCCTCCGGGGAAGATCTTGCTCTTGGTGGGTCTGGGTAGAAATTACAGTGCCGACACCTGATGATAAACACGGCGAGCAGCTGTGAGCTCGGATCCTCATCGTCCTGTTTTTATGAGCTTTTTTCTTTCTCGTTAAATTATGTTTTTAATAGCACGATTGTTGTGATCTTCCAAGGGCGCTCGCCTAAAGCTCACAGTGAAACAAGTGATTTCAGCTCAGATCAGTCAAAGTGGTTCCAGCTGTGCAGGTAATCCCTGTAAAGCAGCAGTCTGAGACCCTGAGCTCAGAGACCTTAAACACCACAGTCCTGGATCCTCTGCTCCTCCTCTGCTGGGATGAAACTCTGTAGCTGCAGTCTTGATCGTTTACAGCTTTTGGACGCTGGTGGCGTGGTACAGGAAGCTCAAACCAGAGTCAAACATTATTTATTTTATTTTATCTGTCAGCATCTTTGTGTTTATCCAACAGTCAGAAGTGGGAAGAAATACAAAAGAAGCGCCTGTGCTGACAATGACATATATGTTTTCAAGCGTGCATTTTCAGCCTTAATGAGTTGTTAATTGAGGCTCCACAAAAATGTAACTTCCTGTTTGAGAGAGTAAAAAGTTGACCTACTGCCCCTTTAAAAGATGAGACAGGGTAGTTGGGCCCGTGAAGCTCTGCCAGTCCGTCAGCTGGTTTGTTTCATACACAGTCCACAGAAAGAGACAAACAAGACTGAGGACAAAGAGAGACAGAAAGAAAACTGTCTGCCTGCTCTCCACAGCCCACTTTCAGACCCCATGCAGCACAAAACCTGGACAGACTACAGACGAGAACCTCCAAGCTCCAAAATCAACTTCTGCTTGCTCTGGATTCAGTGTTTCTCCTCCTGCAGAGTCATGGCGGTGTGTCTGATCATTGACATTTGTGACAATATTAATATAAGCTCGATAAAATATTAAAACAAAATGAGCTTTTTTTCGAGCTTCCAAACACACACTCATACATTGTTAAATTAGGGGATCAATATAACTGCGGATGTGATGCAGTTTTTAATAATAATAATAATAATAATAATAATAATAATAATAATAATAATACAGCTCTTTAGAGGCCTTCAGCCGACCTTCAGTCCTGAGAGCCTGTTTCCAGTTTGGGGCCGAGACTCTAAACATTGAGGCCCCTCATTGTTTAACATCAAACACTCAATCTGAGCAGCTGAACCGGACAAACTCTGACTAAATAAATACATTTTGTAGCGAAGCGCGGAGGTCCATGTAAATATGGACCCATTTGGATGGGTAAACGATGCAGAGACCCTCCTTTCAATCAGCCTTTCACCGGAGCACTCGGCCGTGATTACCTTCACATGCTTCACATTACAGTGAACCCCCATTTCCTCCGCTCGTGAGGCCTCAACCATTTGGCAGGTGATTAAACACAGGCCTGAAACATGTTTGCAGGGGCGGCCGGGCACACACACATGTTGATACACGCATACGTGCACAGATGGCGGCAGCTTAATGCCCCTTACGTAAAAAGAAGGCGTACGCACACACAAGTGCTGGTTATTGTCACTTTCACTGAGCTGCTTTCACACTGTGAGGCCCCGAGGGAGGAAGGGGAAGAAATCCTCTTGGAAAAGATTCAGTTCCTTTGAATTCTTCTTTAGTAGTTGGTACTAAACCAGCTGGCACATGCCGGGAAGAGTGAGACGGAAACAATAGGCTCCAGCTCTCGTTTTATTTCCATTGAGCGAGGCTGGAGGATGCCAGTGCATCAGACTGATTGTGAGCGTTGAATTCAGAGAAAACAGAAACTGTGGAGGAGAGGAAATGTAGAGTTTGTTGCCCATTGGAATGAAACAGGAAGCAGAACGCTGTTTACTTCCTCATATTTACGTATTTCTGTACAATCAGGCAGTTAGGGTGGGGCTATATTCGCTGATACTGATTGGTGTTTACAGCAGCCAATAGCAGATAGCACTATGAGCTAGCGTCAGCGTCTACCTTCCAGTGAACACAGGAACCGAACACAATCTTCGAGGTTGGCAGGGAATCCAGTACCAAGGTGGTTTTCTTGCTGGTTTTGGCTCCTGGCGTCCCGGGGCTGAGTCAGTTGATCAATCTGTCCATCAAAATGTCTGAAATACATCAGCTTTTTTAAAACACGTTGCGATGTTTTCAGTATCTGATTTTGCAATGAAATTGTGGAAGAAAGCATTAAAATAGTTATTTGTTATGTGTAATTCCAGTGAGAATAAATAGTATGGTGACATTTGAGCGAGGAAACTACAATCAGATGGTCAAATTTATGGAAAGGTTGTGGAGATTGGCCCAAATTGTGGGGTCACGCAGAATTCCCAGTGATTGGTTGAATTAGCATTAATTGTTCTTCCTTGAGGGACTGATAAATGACCTTGGTACTGCAGGCGGAGGGGCTGCGAGCCGAGCTGCTGCTAGCGTTAGCTCAGCTGGTTTCTCTAATAACTTAAGATCCAGATGTCCAAAAAGAAACTGCCTCTAAAATCCAGTGTTTGGGATCGAGTTTAAATGATGTTTGTCTGCTGCAGCATCGGCCTCTAATTGAGTCCAGATGTGTGTCACAGACATTTGAAATGGTCATTTGTCTTTTTCTGAATGTAACTCTGAATTATCTGAGTTCAGGAAGGATGGAGTAAAAGAAAGGGATCTAAACAGAGCAGAGAGGAGCTAAAAACCAGCAGGAGCAGCATCTTCTGATGAATTCACAAGATATTTAAAATAGTTTCCCGTACATATGAGCTGTGATGTGGCCAGACAGTGTCCGCTGCCCGCAGATGGCAGGAAATAGTGCTATTAGGCCCGTAACCAGAGCCAGATGAAACAGCGTTCTGGCTCCAGAGCTGCCGGGTTTCTCTGGAAGTCCAAAAGAAGCCGGGAAGGAAGAAAGGGGGGAACATGAACACATTGAAGGAGTTATGAAGTTTGAAGTGAGGGTTGTGTGAGTCACCAAAACAATTTCTCATCCCTCTGGGTGTGAAGGGAAATTCTGTTATTGCTTTTTGCTTATTATTTAATAGGCTTTAAATAAAAATGAATAAACTAAAATAAACAACAGAATGTACATATAGACACCTGAGATAATGTAAGTGCACATTATACAGATTACAGGGTGCAAACTAGGTCTCAGGATTTTGCTTATTTTGGGATTGTTGTGGCCTGAAATGTCGGACTTCACGGCAGCCTTTCTAGAAAACTGCGATGCATGTTGCGATTGTTTTTAAGGAATTTTTGTTTTTGCGATTAAATTGTGGGAGAAAGTGAAAATGGCAAAAATTTTTGTTTTTTGGAAGGAAAACGTGTAAACAAGACATATGACAGGAAACTGCTCATTTTGTCACATATTTCTATTTTTCTGCATCTTAATCATCTTGGGTTAATCGAAAGCATTTAATGTTACATATTATAGCTGGTAAGAGCGCTCATGCTGTTTTGTTTCAGCCTATCACACTGGACGCGACCGCAGTTCATCGCCACTTGCAGCTTTAATTTGACTTGTTTTTGTGAAGCATTCACTGACTTTGAGTTAGCTCGTATTGTTGTTATTATTATCACTGCTATTCACACCCTGGCTGTTGTGTCTTCCTCTATCAGTGACACAGACAGTCCAATCCTGAGGTTCCCCGGCGCTCTGCACTGATTTATTGGCTGTTACATAGATGATTTATTTGGTGTAAATCTAGTGCTGCAGTTGTGGTCACGTGGAGGAGATGAGTTAATGGCAGCGTGCTGGGACACATAATTTCAATAATTATAGCGATAATACAGGAGACGCCCACTTTACACACTCCTCACCCCTCAAATGTCATAAAGCTGCCAGATTATGACTGACAGCTTTCGAAATCACTGAATGCAGCATTGAAGCATTCATTTCAACTTTAAACCCTATTTCTGTATAATTATTCTAAACTATCGCTTTTGTCCACAGGGGGCGCCGTAATCAACACAAGATGAAAGCTCCCTGTTGCTGATTTAAGTTTTTAATTAAAGTGAAAATTCAGTTTTTATAACATATGATCAATTTTAAGACTTTTTAACCCCTTACACCTTTTATTTATTATACCTTTATTTAATGGTTATACATTAAATAAAAAGTTAACTCCTACTTTTTGACCTTTATTTCTTCTTTTAAGGCACAACTTAACTGATAACTGATATTAATTAAACTAAAAGGCTTGTCAAAAAGTTTGAATTAATGTGTATTGAAGTAGTTGAAAGATACAACTAACATCAGCTTACATCTGATAGCTACTGTTAGCCAAACATCAGCTAATCAGATTGCTGTAGATTAACTGGTTAGTTAGCATTTTGTTAGCATTAGTTAACGTAAGCGATGCTATGTATGTTGCTTTTATTTGTCCTTTCCTGTATGTAGATATCTTATGTGCTAACTAACTAGCTAGCTAATCTACACCAATCTTTAGCTGACTAATAAGCATGTATTTTGCGCATAAGTTAAAATATTTAAAACTTTTAAGAGTCATACTGCTCGTCCTTTAGTAGCACTTCCTGTTTTGATGAAGAGGATGAAGAAGGTTACTTATTAAGGGTCATTTTTGTGGCAGTTTGAATTGTGTTGTAGTATTTCCTAGAGTTTGATATGACTATTTCTACTCAAGTTAATTATCCCAGTTCTTGCTGTGGTTTTAGGTTTAACTGGTTCGTTGTGCAGCTTTGTGTTTTTATTCTTGGGAAATGTTTAGAAGTGCAGTAATGCAGAGTCACGGTGGGCGTGTCCATGTTTTTGTGTGTGTAAATGTGTGCAATCAATAGTAACATGGAACAGACGTGCCCCCCCCCCACCGGCGCTGTTACTGCGTCCAGATGGGAAACAGATTGTTTTCCTGCATTTATGGTGGCTTTTGTCTTTGTGTCGTAGGAAGAGAGAAACCCGAGAGCCATTCCAGCATGGAGGGGAGGCGGGGTCTTCTCCTCAGCCTCATCTTGGGGTCAATGTGTTTCTACGGCAACGCCGTTGAGAAGACAGGTGGGTATGATTACGCCGCTTTGATTTAACTTTTTGCATACCAGCACATAAAGGATCGTGGCAAACGTGCCTCTCCTCCAACACAACATCAGCCCATAACATCTGTAAAACCTGTGTGTATGTAGCGCCACACACACACACACACACACACACACACACACACACACACACATTATATTATTATATAGCAGATGGTAAGTTTTTCATATTAAACACATAAAGAGCACCGTTACTAACCCTGCACAAGAATGTGTTTGCTGTTGAGCACGTGGATATGATGCATTACTCGGTTCACAAAATCACGAGCTAACTTGCTTTGATCACCGGTGCCGAGCTGCATAAAACATATTGATCCATGATGTCCAACCCTGCTGGCAGACAGAGCGTCAATATCGGATCTGAATGTTCGAGATATCAGTAAATGTATGTCGTTATAATCCAGGCCTTGCATAGCTTAGTTAGCATCAACCAATAAAAACAAGCAAAAATGTTCAAGTAATAATATTACTTTCCCTAGTAACCAATAATAATATTAATTTAACCTTCCCGCCCCTTTTGGAACCTCGGTCAACTTCCTCTTTCCTGTACTTAGATATGCTAAATGCTAAGCTAATGTATGTTGAAAAGATATTTTGAAGATGGTTAAAAGACAAAAGCAACTAGCTAATTAACTAACAGTCATCAATAGCTAGCTAATAGTGTTTTGTTAATAATTAGCTACCAGATGTTCGTACCTAGTAAAGGATGAATGTAGATTCGCTCTGTTTGACCATCTTCAAAGTGTGGTTATCTTTTCTACATAGATTAGCCTAGCACGTAGCATGTCGTAGCTACACAAATAAAATTCCATTTAATGGAAAAAGTCTGTTCTGCATTTTCAATGGAAACGCTGGATCTCGCATCTTAAGACAAATATTAAGACGACAATATTTTTATGCAGCCGGTCACATGAATGTAAGGTTTGTTTTCATTGATGATGACTGAACACTTTGTAGTGAGAAGAAGTTAAAGGAAAAGTACTTTTGGGGGCAGCACCTTCTGTTTGAAGGAAGTGAGCACCAGCTGTAAGCCACACAACCTTTGTTTCATTTTCCTCACGCTTTTGCATCCCAAGAGTTCACTTGAAGGTAAGTGCTTCCCACGTAGATCCCTGCTCCTGTGCAGAAACTGTCCACCATCTGCCAACCACCTGATCACTTTCCCTCTGGCTTGCACACAACACAACCATCCCCCGACTGCTTTCTGTAAATCACTTCTTCACCTCTGGTTCGCACGCTCTCTAAGAACCAAGGAACTGCCTTGGGTTTTACTTCTTATCTGCAAGAACTCTCCATGATTTGACAACCTTCCCCCTTCAGTCTGCACTCAAGAGGCTGTAGCCGACATCGTCTTCATGGTGGATGGGTCGTGGAGCATCGGCACCGAGAACTTCGAGCAGATCCGTCAGTTCCTGTACACGCTGGTCAGCAGCTTCGACGTCGGGCCTGAGCATGTCCGCATCGGGCTGGTCCAGTACAGCACCAATACGCGCACCGAGTTCCTGCTCAACACCTATCAGAACAAGAAGGACATCCTCCAGTACATCAGCACATTGCCTTACATGGGGGGCGGCACCCATACGGGTGAGGGTTTGGACTTCATGCTGAAGGAGCACTTTGTGAAAACAGCTGGAAGCCGGGCGCACCAGAATGTGCCGCAGATCGCTGTGGTGATCACTGATGGCAAATCGCAAGACGATGTGAAGAACCACGCCCAGGAACTGAAGAGAAAGGGAATAGTTTTGTATGCAATTGGTATCAAAGATGCGGACGAAGAACAGCTGAAAGAGATAGCAAACGAGCCGCACAGTCAGTACGTCTACAGCGTGTCTGACTTCGCAGCGCTGCAGGGAATTTCTCAGAACATCATCCAGACGCTTTGCACAACTGTGGAGGAAGTCAAACGACAACTCCTGCAATTGTCTCAAGGTAATATGTGTCCACACAGGTTATGGGGAACAAGTGATCTCACCTAACTACTATTACTTACGGCCCAACTTCAGAGATGATGATGTCCTTTTCTGTCGCACTGAATTTAAATTGTATTATGTTGTGTTCAGATGTGTTTCAAGGGTACGCAGACGCAGACATTGCTTGTTGCTCCGATGTTGACTTCTTTCTCCCTCTTGTCCAGAATGTGCCAAAGCCACCATGGCCGACATCGTCTTCCTGGTCGATGGCTCCTCCAGCATCGGCATCAGTAACTTTCAGGCGGTCCGGCAGTTTCTCCGAAGCTTGGTCACGGGCCTCGAAATCGGCCCCGACAAAGTTCGGATCGGCTTGGCTCAGTACAGCGATGAACCTTTCGAGGAGTTCCTGCTGAAGAAACACACGGACAAGAATGCCCTGCTGGCTGAGGTGGACACATTCCCCTACCGAACAGGAGGCACAGAAACAGGCAAGGCCATTGACTTCCTCCGGACGACGTACTTCACCGAAGAGGCGGGCAGCCGAGCCAACCAAAGGGTGCCTCAGATCGCTGTGGTCATTACAGATGGGGACTCCACGGATGATGTTGTAGCGCCAGCGCAGCGCCTGAGACAGCAAGGAGTCATAGTGTTTGGCATTGGGGTTGGACAAGCTAACCTGCAGGAGCTCGGATCCATTGCCAACCGACCTTCAGACCGCTTCCTGTTCCCCATCGTTGACTACCAGGCTCTGCAGTTGCTGACAGAGCGTCTGCTGCAAACTGTTTGTGTCTCCGTTGAGGACCAGAGGCAAGGTAAGGCAAAGTATTCACAAACTTACAGAGTTCGAACAATTAAATCCAGGTTTTTTAAGTTTCAGGGTGTCTATTGTCAGAAATGGAATATAATATTCATAGGTATGTTTTCATTAGTGTATAATCACCTGAAATTAAGTTGTATAAAAAAGAGGTGAGAGGTGTCTTGCTGTTGTAATTGACCCTTCATAAGCCCCGCCTCTTTTTGCTCTGTACTCCAATAACAGTTGAGCAAGCCTCGGTCAACTTCCTCCTTTCACTGTACTTAGATATGCTACGTGCTAGGTTAATCTATGTTAAAAGGACAACCACATTTTAGAGATGGTTAAAAGATCAATATAAAGTCACATCAGCAGTTAACTATCTAGTTAGTAAAACACTTGCTAACTAGATCGCTAATCTACATCAGTCGATAGCTAACCGATAAGTTTCCTTTTGGTAACATTGTCTATCAGATATAATGTAGATTAGCTAGTTAGTTAGCTAAAGCTTTGCTAACATTAATTCAATTATATTCAGTTTTATTTGTACAGCTCCAATTCATAACAGAAGTTATCTCAGGACACTTTTCAAATAGAGCAGGTCTAGACCGAACTCTTTAACATTATTTACAGAGACCCAACAGTACCACCATGAGCAAGACCTTGGAGACAAGGGCAAGGAAAAACTGCCTGTTAAAAGGCAGAAACCTAGGACAGATCCTCCGGCTCTAGGTGGGGGGTCGTCTGTCTCGACCAGTTGTGGTGAGAGAGAGAGAGAGAGAGAGAGAGAGAGAGACAGACAGACAGACAGACAGACAGGTGCACAGCAACAACAGTATTAATCTTTTAACCATCTTTTCAACATAAATTAGCCTAGCACGTAGCATATCTAAGTACAGGTAAGGAGGAAGTTGACCGAGGCTTGCTCAACTGTTATTGGAGTACAGAGCAAAAAGGGGCGGGGCTTATGAACAGTTAATTGTGCAGTATTTTAAATAAATGTTACTTTTCCTCAAAAGCATATATTTTACTGGCTTTGAGCCTGCAGACGTACCACGTTAAGGCTCTGCAGTGATTAATGTTCACAAGGTCAGACGGTATCTGCAGTAATGCAGCTGCGTCCAAAAAATGCAACATTAAAAGTTGTTTGGAGAAATGAGGACAGACTTTATTGAACTTGCTGTTATGCAACTTTAGTGTGGGAACCTAACACAGAAATGGTTCACTGGCCAGGCAGAGATCTCATAGTTAGCCTCATGTAAAACGTGGGACATTAAAACAGTTGAGTTGTAGGCATCCAGATAAGCTTTTAGCATGATGCTTGTTCATTTTCCCGTACTGAATCATTCTCATTTGGAGTTATTTGCTATCAACAAAGATTTTAAATTTGTTATATTATAATCAAGAGATCATTTCTAATTGTTGTTTTTCTTGTGTCTACCATTACAGCCGATCTTCTAACTGTTCTTCTCACGTTGTTTTCTTTCAGCTTTGGCAGAAAAGTTTGCAGACATTTTCTTCCTGGTGGACAGCGGCGTGGCTCCAGGGGAGTTCCAGCAGATCAGATCCATCCTCACCCGACTCACCAATCAGCTCAACATCGGAGCGTCTGCCTACCGCCTGGGTTTGGCACAGTACGGTGAAAATGTCAAGGTTGAATTTCTTCTTAATGCTCACCAAACCAAAGAGGAGAGCCAGAACGGCGTTAAGCGTTTCCGACAGCGCAGACTGCAATCCGGCGAGCCTCGTAACCTGGGCAAGGCCTTGCAGTATGCCAGTGCTAACTTCTTCACCAGCGAGGCGGGAAGCCGGGCAGACCTGGGCTACCAACAGTACCTGGTGGTTCTGAGCGGGAAAGATTCTAGTGATCCTGTGTACAGGGAGTCCCGTCTGATCAAATCATCAGGAGTAACCGTGGTGGGAATGAGCCTCGGTGTTTCCATGACAGAACTGCGTACCATTGCGACCGCGCCATACGTATTCTCGTCGATCAGCAATGCTGCACCTACACTGAAGGCTATTTTCGAAAGACAGGAGCTTGAAACCATTCTCACTGGAGGTAAAGAAATTATTAAAATTATTCTTAATTGATCATTTTGAAATTTCTTTTTTCTTTTTAATGTTTAATTAAAGATAATTACACTGTAAAACCAATTAAATGATCTATAAATACAGGTGAACTCTGCTATAATACAAATAATCAGACTTACATTTACAGCAGAGTGCTGTTATTATTTGACTTTTCTTATTTTAATCTGGTAATAAAAGTCCATCTGTGAAATTATAGTAATTATTGCTGTTTTCACTGATAAAAACTGTATTTGGACAGTTTACCAATGCTTATACACTGATAAACATTTTCAATTCAATTCAATTCAATTTTATTTGTATAGCGCCAATTCATAACAGAAGTTATCTCAGGACACTTTTCAAATAGAGCAGGTCTAGACCGAACTCTTTAACATTAATTACAGAGACCCAACAGTACCACCATGAGCAAGCACTGGCGACAAGGGCAAGGAAAACTGCCTGTTAAAGGCAGAAACCTAGGACAGATCCTCCGGCTCTAGGTGGGTGGTCGTCTGTCTCGACCAGTTGGGGTGAGAGAGAGAGAGAGAGAGAGAGAGAGAGAGAGAGAAGCGACAGACAGACAGACAGGTGCACAGCAACAACAGTATTGGCAATGGCAGTCAAGCAGGACCATGGCAGGAGGCTCCACCAGGATCCATGAGAACCTGCGGACGAGAAAGCACAAGAACTCCGGGGAAGAAGTGGAGTTAGTAACATGCATTAAAGGGACATGAATGAGTGCAGAAAGAGAGGGAAGAGAGTAGCTCAGTGCACCATGGGAAATCCCCGATAGTCTAGGCCTATAGCAGCATAACTAAGGGATGGTTCAGGACTCACCGATCCAGCCTAACTATAAGCTTTATCAAAGAGGAATGTCTTAAGCCTACTCTTGAAAGTGGTGAGGGTGTCTGCCTCCCGAACCACAACTGGAAGCTGGTTCCACAGGAGAGGAGCTTGGTAACTGAAGGCTCTGGCTCCTGTTCTACTTTTAGAGACTATAGGAACCACAAGTAGCCCAGCATTCAGAGAACGTAGTGTTCTAGTGGGGTAATAGGGTACTATGAGCTCTTTAAGATATGAAGGGGCCTGACCATGAAGAGCTTTATAGGTGAGGAGGAGTATTTTAAATTCAATTCTACATTTTATAGGGAGCCAATGCAGAGTAGCTAGTACAGGAGAGATGTGATCTCTTTTTCTAGTTCCTGTCAGTACTCGTGCGCAGCGTTCTGAATTAATGGAGCGTTTTAATGGACTTATTGGGGCAACCTGATAATAAAGAGTTGCAGTAATCCAGCCTTGAAGTAACAAATGCATGGATTAGTTTTCTGCATCTGTCTGTGATAGTATGTGTCTAATTTTTCTAATATTACGTAAATGAAAGAAGGCAGTCCTAGAGGTCTGCTTTATGTGGGAGTTAAATGACAAATCCTGATCAAAGATAACTCCAAGATTCCTGACAGTGGTGCTAGAGGCCAAGTTAATGCCATCTAGAGTGACTATATCTTTAGACAATGAGTCTCTAAGGTTTTGGGGCCAAGAACAAGAATTTCGTTTTTCTGAGTTTAACATCAGAAAATTGCAGGTCATCCAGGATTTTATGTCCTTAAGACATGTTTGTAATTTAGATAATTGATTAATTTCATTGGGTTTGATTGATAGATATAACTGCGTATCATCTGCATAACAGTGAAAGTTAATGGAGTGATTCCTAATAATGTTGCCTAAAGGGAGCATATATAAAGTAAATAGTATTGGTCCAAGTACAGAACCTTGTGGAACTCCATGACAACTTTAGTATTTATGGAGGATTCATCGTTAACATGTACAAACTGAGTACGATCTGATAAGTATGACTTAAACCAGGTTAGGGCAGTTCCTTTAATGCCAATTTGATGCTCAAGTCTCTGTAAAAGAATATCATGGTCAATGGTGTCAAATGCAGCACTAAGATCTAATAATACAAGTACAGAGACAAGTCCATTGTCAGAAGCAGTCAGAAGGTCATTATTAACTTTAACCAGAGCTGTCTCTGTGCTATGATGAACTCTAAATCCTACTGAAAATCCTCAAATAAACTTTTCAATGTTTTTGTTTTGAAAACTTCCATAATCATACAAAATATCTGTCAGTTAACAAACAAATACATATAAAATTACCTTTATACTAATAATAATCCTGTTTTACTGTCTATTAAATAAACAGTAAATATCTGCGATTAAAAAAAAGCAGCAATTTTATGATTATTTGCAGTTACATTATTTTACATTAGAAATTTAAATTCACAGGCTTTTTTTGGAATTTTATAAATATTTACATGTATTTAAACTAAAAGAATAAGCAACTGCTGTAGAACATGATTCTCAGCATTTGGTTCACTTCTGTGAAGAAAAGTAAATTGTCTAATAGAACAATGGCTCAGCATCAGGGACAAGAAAACACAGAATTTGTCTAAAAAGAAGCTTATTAAGACTGAATTATTGTTAAAAATTATTTAACAAATAAACCAAATAAAAAAGTTCTATAAACAGGAAATAATTTGAACAAAATTCATCCAAATCACTTGTTTTACACAAATGTTCACTATCAGTTCACTATTTGGGTTCATTGTACAGTTTATTCCTTATTCTGCATGATTATATTCTTCAAGAGTTTTCCTTCAATAACCACCTTATTGATGATTATTGATAGTAAGAAGGCAATTATTAAGTAAGTAGAATGTATACTTACTATCAATAAGCAGTAATTAGGTGGTTATTGAGGGGAAACGGCCTTGTCCCTTTTTACTCCAATAAGAGCTGAGCAAGCTTCGGTCAGAAACTCAGTCCCCTTCCTCCTTTCCTGTACTTAGATATGCTATATGCTAAGCTAATTTATGTTGAAAAGACAACCACATTTTAGAGATAGTTAAAAGATAAAAGTAACTAGCTAATCTACATTCATTGTTAGCAAGCTAATTAGCTGGTGTTGTGCTAATCTAGTCATATCTTAAGTTAGCTAATGTTAGCAAAAATCTAGCTACCTAGTAAGCAAATCTACATCAATCTCTAGCTAACTAATTGATAGTTAGTTAAAGACTGAAGTAGATCCGCTAGCTGTTTAGCTAGCATTTTGGTTGTCTTTTCAACATAAATGTGCTTAGCATGTAGCATATCTAAGCACAGGAAAGTAGAAATTGACAGAGGCTTGCTCAATAACACAGAACAAAAAGAGACATGAGCTAGGAAGGTCTCAGTCTTTTCTTCATCTTCAAAGGTATCTGAATGGTTGAGTAGCTCACAAGTGAATTCGTAATTCTAATTTTATGATAATACTCTTTCACAGATTGCAAAGCAGCCAAACTGGCGGACATCGTGTTCATCGTTGACGAGTCTGGAAGCATTGGAACCCCCAACTTCCAGCTGGTGCGCACTTTCCTGCACTCGATTGTGAGCGGCCTTGAAGTCAGTCCCAGCAAAGTCCGAGTGGGCGTTGTGATGTATAACGACAGGCCCACGGCACAGGTCTACCTCAACTCCTTTAATGACAAGGACGAACTGCTGAAGTTCATCAAAATCCTGCCTTATCGCGGGGGCGGTACGAACACCGGCGCGGCGCTCAAATTTGCCCGAGAGAGTGTTTTCATCAAGGACAAAGGAAGCAGGAAAGATAAGGGTGTCCAGCAGGTGGCAGTGGTGATCACAGATGGTAAATCCCAGGACGAAGTGAGCACGGCAGCAGCTGATCTCCGTCGGGCTGGAGTCACCGTTTACGCGGTGGGAGTCAAGGACGCCAATGAGGCCGAGCTGAAACAGATGGCATCTTACCCCAACCCTAAGCACACGTTCATCGTGGACAGTTTTACTAAGCTGAAATCGTTGGAGCAGAGCTTGCAGAAAATTCTGTGCCAAAATATAATTCGACAAGCATTCTCAGTCAATACGAGAAGAACTGGCATCAAAGAAGGTCTGAACCAGTGTTTGCTTCATATAGTTGGCTTTGTTTACTTGAATATCAACCATACACATTAGGGATGTCCCGATCAAATGGTCTTTGCTCCCAATCTGAGTGGATCCAATACTTGTTTTTTTCCAGTTGCACTGTGCAAACGTACGTTAAGGTTACTAAAATCAATCCACGTGTATGCTTGACAATGGAATAGCTCTACAATGCCTTTTAACAAAACAACCAAACTAAAATATGTCTTTATAAAAAGCTCTTATCAATTCCATTTAGAACATATTTTATATCTGAAAGCTAATGTTAGCAAAACGTAAGTTAACTAGCTGATTATTGATTGACGTGTTTGCTAACATTAGCTTTCAGATGTAACTAGCTAAATAATGATTGACGTACGTTTGATAGCTAATTAGCTAGAGCCAAGGATTACTTTGAGACTGAGGTGATCTGCTGATCTACTACAATCGTGCTCAGTATAGCCGACACCAATCAGTTAAAAAATGCATTGATCAGACGAGTACCAACCTTTGAGATTAGATCGGGACATCCCTATATACAACAACAGTATTTATTGTTTGTTGCCATTTACCAATTGCTGCTGTGTCAAAATGAATTTCTCCTCAGGGGGATAAATAAAGAAATTATCTTATCTTATGCATCAGTGCATCAGTGAACAACTGATGCATTGGGGGAAAATAACTTTTTATGTTATATTTTTTCTTTTCCAGGCTGCGTGCAAACGGATGAAGCCGACATCTTCTTCCTGGTGGATCACTCTGGAAGCATTTACCCCAATGACTTCCATGACATGAAGAAGTTCATCATTGAGTTTCTAAGTACCTTCCGTATCGGGCCACAACACGTCCGCATGGGGGTTGCAAAATACGCAGACTCACCAAACTTAGAGTTCGATCTGACCACCTATTCGGATGCCAAGGCATTGGAGAAAGCCGTGCAGGATATTAAACAGATAGGAGGCGGGACAGAGACAGGAAGAGCTCTGGAATTCATGGGTCCACAGTTTGATAAAGCGATGGCAACTCGTGGCCACAAAGTCCCAGAGTACCTGGTGGTCATCACTGACGGAAAATCCTCCGATGAGGTCAAGATTCCTGCAGAAAAGCTAAGGGCGCAGGGTGTCACCGTGTATGCCATTGGCGTGAAAAGTGCAGATGAAGAAGAGCTGAAAGAGATTGCAGGCGACCCTAAGAGGACTTTCTTTGTCAATAATTTTGATGCTCTGAAGCCCATCAAGGACGACATCATCACGGACATCTGTTCCAAAGACGGTAAGCAGTTAAAAATGTCTATCGTAATTTGTGTGTGACAGTTGACACTCATTCGGGAGAAAGGTAGTTGATGAGTTTCTTTGGTATAGTATTGGTGGTTGATGACCTGGGAGCACGAATGCAACTAGATGTATTTTGCGGCTCGCTCCAATGCAATGTGGTTGGTGTGAGTTGCCACTGAACAAACCTTGAACCTTGTACCACTGAAAGGATTCAGTTGGATCCTTTTTGCATCTGAAAGTAGCACCAAGGTATTAAGATCATGTCTGTGCTCCTCTGTGTCTACAGCTTGCAAGGACATACCAGGCGACCTCCTTTTCTTGATTGACAGCTCCGGGAGCATCTATCCAAATGACTACCAGAAAATGAAAGACTTCATGAAATCTGTCATCAGCAAGTCCATCATCGGACAGGACGAGGTGCACGTCGGCGTCATGCAGTTCAGTGACGTCCAACAACTTGAGTTCAACCTCAACCAGTACTCCAGCAAGGACGCAATGTCGAATGCCATCGATAACATGCTGCAGATCGGTGGAGGTACGGACACGGGTAAAGCCATCACGCAGGTGTCACAGTATTTTGATGTTGGCAACGGCGGGCGTCCAAACCTGAGGCAGAGGCTGGTGGTGATAACAGACGGCGAGGCCCAAGACGAGGTCAAACGCCCCGCTGCAGCTCTTCGTGCCAAGGGAGTGACCATCTACGCCATCGGAGTGGTGGACGCCAACACCACACAGCTACTGGAGATCAGTGGTTCACCAGACAGGGTGTATTCGGAGAGGGACTTTGATGCCCTGAAGGACTTGGAAAGCCAGGTGGCCTTGGAGCTCTGTGATCCAGAGAGAGGTAAGAGCAGATTGTCCCAAAACATCAAATCATTTTGATGAACAGTTAAAACAGTTTTTACAGATTACTTTTATGATTCAAAAATCTTTTGAAGAATCTAAATACCTGGTACTAACTTGTAGGTTGCGGCCCTAATAGTGTTGCTGGACAATATTATTGGTATAATATTTACTTTATAATACTGTATGAGCCATAGATTACAGAATATTATAGATCCAACGACATTATGATGTTCCTGATCTCTTATTATGGACACCTTGAAGGGGATTATCCTTGCCAAAGAAAAGAAAATAAGATCATTCGTTTTTAGGCGTTTTGCAATAGAAATCTATTTTTAAGTCATAACTCCATTTCCCTTGTAACACCTGATAGTTTGACTAATACCTGGAAAAATCATTACCATCCCATAAGGTTCTAATGCAATGGAAACATTCACTACAATGCTACGAGCTAGGGAGCTAACGTAATAATGCTACGAGCCAGGGAGCTAACGTTATGCTAGCAGGATTAAGTAAATAAGACAACAATTTTTATAGAAGGTGAGTATGATGGATAACAAGCATATAAGTGTTGAGGTGTTTTCCTGCTACCTGTCTCTTTGATTTGTTGTTTGTCCTTTTATTTCCAACCAGACTGTAAGAAGACAGAAAAAGCGGACATTATCTTCCTGGTGGACGGCTCCACGAGCATAACCCTGAGCAAGTTTAGAAGCATGCAGAAGTTTATGGAGTCAATGGTGAACCAAACCACGGTCGGCAAGGACCTGACTCGCTTCGGGGTCATTCTTTACTCCACCAACGCCAACTCTATTTTTTCTCTGAATACGTACAACTCCAAACGAGAAGTTGTGAATGCGATATCAGCGCTGAAGTCCCCATTTGGAGACACCTACACCGGACGGGCTTTGGCATACTCTTTAGAGTACTTTAGTGAGAACCATGGTGGTCGGGCGGCGCTCCAGGTGCCGCAGATTCTCATGGTGATCACAGACGGTGATGCCACCGACCGTAACAATCTGGCCGCGCCGTCCTTGGCGCTGCGTGACAAAGGGATCAGCATCTTCAGCATCGGAGTGGAAGGAGCCAACAAGACGCAGCTGGAGATCATGTCTGGTCATGACGCGTCTAAAGTTTTCTACGTGGACAATTTCGACGCCCTGGAGACTCTGTACAAGAATATTACTCACGTCCTCTGTAATACCACCAAGCGAGGTAAGAGCTTAAAATCAGAATCTGGATGATTCATAGCAACATAAAGCTTCTGAACTCAGTTTTTGTTAAAAGATTTCAAAAAAAGCCACAAAAAACAAATGGTTTTACATCTAACCTTCAAGTATCCAGTCCTGTTGATATTTTTACCCGCAGAATTCAATTTGTGGTGTTAAAAGAATTTATAAACTTTAAAAACAAGCCCATAACAGACCACAGCAAGCAAAGCAAAAACGGCAAGAATTCATCCAGCTCTGAAACTCATGATTTATATGGAAGACCAAAAGTGTAAAATACTGATTAAAGCGTTTAATGATTTAATAACTAATTGTATAATATTAATAAATATGTTGGTTTACAAATGATTTATTCATTTATAAATAAAGTATATTACAAAGTAATTCATTATTTTATATTTTAATGGGCAATAAAATGAATTTTGAAAATAATAAAAAAAATTAAATATTAATCAATCGATAAATAGTTAAAATTTGAAGCAACATGAAATAGTCTATAAGTACATCATTTCAATTATAAATACATATTGGAATTTACATTTTTTTAATTCTGTTTAAAAATAAAAATAAATAACCAAATTCACAAATGTAATTAAGGATACAGATTGTAAAATGTTTGTTTCCGTTTGCGTTTCCTTTTCCAAAAACCTCAAACAAGATTAGACAATGCAAATTATCCATTGAGTTCCCACACATCCTGGAAAATATGGGAATTTAAAGACTAGCTTTCCAGTCATGGAAACACAAGAAAATTTATTAAAATGACTAAATATCCTGGAAAACTTTAATTGTAATTTACCCTCTCACTCAGATCGCTTATATAAACCCTAAAGGTTACTTAATTGTCATTAAAACACAGGGTTGTAAAATGAAATTCAGGTAAAGTTCCCTTTATGCTAATGATCCAATTTTTTTTATGTTTTCTAATTCCAATTTATATGGATGGAACGTGCTTCAGGGAGCTTTTAGGGGGCGCTGTCGAGCCACACCCATGTGCCAATAAAATCCATACATTTTCACTACCGCCTAATTTTATGCCCCTGAGGTTTTGAGGTTGTTCTGGCCACCAAAAATGTGATACTTTGGGAAATAAGATAATAATAATAATAATAATAATAATAATAACAGTTTGAATAGGGTCCTCAGGGCGGTATATGGTAAGCTTATATATTAGTAAAATGGATAAACTTCCTCTCTTTACTGTTGCAGTTTGTGAGAAACAGAAGGCTGACCTGGTCTTCCTGATCGATCAGTCAGGCAGCATCAACTCAACGGACTACACCACCATGAAGACGTTCACGACAGAACTTTTGAGTAGCTTCAAAGTCAGCGAAGATTTAGTGCGCGTAGGACTCGCCCAGTTCAGCAGCACGTTTGAAAAAGAGTTCTACCTGAACCAGTTCTACACTGAGCAGGCGGTCACTCAGCACATCCTGGGTATGCGGCAGACCGGCGGAGGCACCAACATCGGACACGCCCTGGATAGCATCAGGGATTATTTTGAAGCGTCGCGGGGCAGTCGCAGATTGGCCGGGATCTCCCAGAATCTGGTGCTGATCACAGACGGTGAATCGCAAGACGATGTGGAGGATGCGGCCGACCGCCTCAAGGCTCTGGGGGTCGAGGTGTTTGCCATCGGCATCGGTGATGTTCACGATCTGCAGCTGCTGCAGATCACTGGCACCCCGGAGAAGCTGTTCACCGTGCAGAACTTTGGCAGTTTGGAAAAGATCAAGCAGAAGGTGGTTGACACAATCTGCAAATCCAAACCGCCTGTCCCACCCAATCCTTCAGGTGAGTCGACTTTACCTCTCCGTCTCCCCCCCCGTATTCCTCTGCGTTTATTAATGTTTTCCCTTTTCGCTCCAGACTGCGTCATCGACATCGCCATGGGATTCGATATTTCTCAAAGAACCAGAGCTTCCGGTGAGGTGCTGATCAGCGGCCACAACAAACTCCAGACCTTCCTTCCGGAGATCGTCCATTATGTTTCCTCAATACAAGGCCTGTGCTGCGTTGGCACCGAGCCCGTCCAGACCAAGATCGCCTTCCGACTGGTGAATGAGGGTGGGCGCACCCTGTACGACTTCAACTTTGAAGGCTACAGCGAAGACGTGGTGAAGAAAGTCATGTCCTTGAATCTGCCAGAGCCAACTTACTTCAACACCGCCCTGCTGAAATCCTTTGAGGAGAAGTTCAAGGGGTCAAACGCCGGCGTGAAGGTGATTCGTACACAAAAAATACTCTTTTTCATTTTATTTTGTTGATATCCCTGATACCCTTTGAGCTGGTTCAACTTAATAATGGAAGTTCACTTGCTGCCTTGCAAATGTAAGTTACCATGAAACTGCACTGATGTTGCAGCGGTTGGTGGTGCTTCAAAACGATGTGTTCCTCCACTTGATGAACATCTCGTTGTTCATTGTGTCAAATCTCCTCTGACTTCTGGTCTGGAGCCACAATTAAAGGCCGTTTTTGGGGCGTTTTGCGACCTCTGTAGTTTGTACTACTACTTTTATTATCTACAATAGATACAACTAAATCCCACACACTGGTCCTTTAATGAGCTGCCTGAACTACAGTGCATTTGTTCAAGTCAGAAGTAAATATATACACATAAATATAAACTACTAACCTCGTCCATCAGGTGGCGGTGATCTTCTCAGACGGACTCGATGAGGACGTGATGAAACTGGAGCACGAATCCGAGCTGCTGCGACAGTCTGGTAAAAACTGAGCATTTAGAACAGTTACATTTTTCCTATTTCATTATCATCTTTATCATCTTCTTTCTTGTGTTTATTGTCTGCAGGGGTCAGCGCACTGCTGACGGTGGCTCTGGAGGGAGCGAGGAACCCCGCCCAGCTGCAGATGGTCGAGTTCGGCCGAGGATTCGGCTACAAGCTTCCTCTCAGCATCGGCATGCAGAGCGTCGGCAGCACCATCCTCAAACAGATCGTAAGTCATTCACTGTAAAACCCAACAAGTTAGTTCAACTCAAACTGGGAGGAAATCACTTGTTTACATTTGTTAACTCATGAGAAAGCATGTGAAAAATATTTGATTTGATTTAGAACTAACTCAGTTATTGTTACGGTAAATTAAGTTAACTGGACTTAAAACTACAGTTCAGCATCGTCTTTATACACATTTATCAGGAAACTCTAAAATACCATAAGATATATAAGTACCTGAAAAAATACCTAAAGAATAGCTGTTGTTGCAGGACAGATACTGGAGGACAGTAAACTCATGGTTACTCTAAAACATGCTAACCTGCCAATCAGCCAGCTAGCAATGCATTTTATGTGTTTTAGCTGGATGTTTGTTACTGCAGGCGACTGTAATCGAGGATCCTTTGCTGTTTATCCATGTTGATACAGCACATAGTGTGACGGATGAGAAAGCTCATCTGCTCACCAAAGGGTTTCCTGTCCTGGCGTGTCCGTTTGCAGGAATGGAAACCAGAAAAAAGCCTCTGGGACGTGTTGGTAGAAGAAAATATGTAAATTACTTACCATGATAAAGAATAGCCATTGGCAAAGAAAATAAAGAACAGGAATCCAGTAAACTTTAGTGGTTTTAAGGCAGAGATTGTGACTGGAATTGTACTACGTGTGTCATGTATCTAGATTATTGTTTGATTAATGTTAGGCAAACTACATAGCTACAACACAGCTGTTAACTTGTGCTGTTAAAGTGTTTTTTTTATAAATAAGACTGATTAAAATAAATCAGTAAATGTTTATTTGTAATATTCTCTTTCTACAGGACACAGTGTCAGACAGGGAGTGCTGCAACGTCATGTGCAAATGTTCGGGACATGAAGGCATTCGTGGCTCTCGCGGCCCCCCGGGGTCGAAGGTGACTGCGATTCACACACCTTTTAAAACTTTTAAACATGATGTCAGGAATGTTTGGGAAAACTTGTCAGAAGCAATAAGAAGAAAGCCGGAGAACAAGCAGACACCTGCAACAGGCTTCAACTTCAGGGTTCAACTTTTAATTTAAAAGTAAACAAGGACATAATTCACTTTAACTACAGTTCTTCATGCGCTCCAGTGTTACTGTGCTGTTTCATAAACAACATGAAGAATGACAATCAGATCATTTACTGAAGTGAAAGTATCAATCAATCAATCAATCAACAGTGTCACAACACTTTATTATAAGGAAAAGTCATGCATTCAAAATCCGACTTAAATGCCGTTCAGAGTTCAGTTAATGTGTCCTCTACTGAGTCTTGAATATTTTTCTGTGATTTGCTGATTGTCCTGTTTGTTGTCTTGTTTGTTGTCCTGGTGGAAATGTTTTGGGTATCGAACGTGTGTTTGTTGTTGTGCTTAAATAAAGAGATAATGAACCTGTGGTGTGTTTCATAAACAGGGCGTGTCTGGACAGAAAGGTTACCCAGGGTTCCCCGGAGAGGAGGGCGTCGCTGTAAGTGCTCATTTATTTTAACATTTTCAGATCAGATGTGCAGAAACTAGAAAATAAAACTTTATAGTCTGCTGCTGCAGTTCCTTCAAAATAAAATACCACACGGACCAAAATAACCATTTTCTACAAAAACTACAAAACCAGCATCTTTTGATAAAAGTTAACCATTAACCAATAATTAGAACAACAGAACATATAATGGGAAGTTGTTTTAGTGGGACTATGTATAATTTGAGATATGCTCAACTTGCCATATGTATATTTTATTTGAATCGTTGAATGGATCCGATTAACTTTGTTTTGTATTAATGTGATTAAACCTGCAGTTCCTCTAACGGCCATTAGAGGCTGGCTCCAGCAGTGAGTCAGTTTTCATAAGGCCCCTTATTAAAACCTCCAACAGCAGAAATAAACATGTTTACAGCCTTTTAGTCTCAAGAGATAATTTCCCCGTTTTGTACAACTCACCTGTTTAAATTATATTAAGATTAAAGTTCTGCTAATTACGGACGTGGTCGCTCTGAGTGACAGGTGGGTGCTGTCACAGGTAACCACGCTTCATTCAGCTCCTCCTCTTTGTACATTTGTGAATAATGTTTGTGCAATCCATCTGACGGTCGGCTCGCCTTGTTCGTATGTTTCAGGGTGAGCGAGGCGGTCCTGGACCGAGTGGACCTCAGGGAGTCCAGGGTTGTCCTGGGATCAGAGGACTGAAGGTACAACACTGCTCATTATGTAAAGTACAAACAGAGTTAGAACAACTGTCTTTTTAATGTTTAATTAAAGATATTAACAGTGTAAAACAATGATCTATAAATCCAGGTGAACTCTGCTATAATACAATAATCAGACTTACATTTACAGCAGAGTGCTGTTATTATTGGATTGTTATTATTTTAATGTGAATATTAAAAGTTATAGAACTGTAATAAAAGTTATTATCTGTGAAATTACAGTAATTATTGCTGTTTACACTGATAACAACTGTATTTTGACAGTTTACCAATGCTTATACACTGATAAACAACATTTATTCATCGTTTCTGTTGTGAAAACTTCCAGAATTATACAAAATATCTGTCAGTTAACTTTTTACTTTTTACTGTTGTCACTTATTTTATATAATTTTAGAAACATATTAACAGTACTAAACCTGTAATTACTTTTGTAGTTTGGTCGAAGCAGCTGTTTCTGTGCGTCTTTAACCGGTGCTGTTTGTGTCTGCAGGGCAACCGCGGCCTCCGGGGGAACAGGGTGAGTGACTCAGACCCGCTGGAATGTGATTAAAGTCAATTAAACGAAAGGAAGTCATGTGACTGTGCTGTATGTAGCGAGGAATGCTTGGACAAACATTAAAGCATAGATAAATGAAGTCAAATGACCCCAGAGACCTGCTAACACTCGACTCTCCTCCAACGCTGCAGGGCGAGGACGGCGAGGACGGACTGGACGGAGTCAACGGAGAACAGGTACGAACTTCAGCAGCTAGCTACAACCCTCTTCACGGGAGATGGAAACAGAATAAGTTCTGACGTAGTGAACATTTAACTCCATAAAACATCCTTCCTCACGTTCATACATGAAACAAACACAAGCCTGTTGAAACTGGCGGCTTTGGCTCCCACCAGCCAACGTTAGCTAAGTCCATCTGGATCCAGTTTCACCCAAATCACTGATACAGTTGAGTGTTTGTACAGTAATCAGTGAGCTCCGCTAGCTGTTAGTAAGCTCTTTTGTATCTCTTGAACCAACTCCTAATATTCACACTCTCATTTTCTTTAGCAGAATTACTCAAACTGTGGTTAAAATGTGTGATAACTGTGGAGGGAAACAGCTCAGCCTCTTTGCAGTAGTTTGAGTAAAAGGTCGTGACCCCAAATAATGTCGTGAAATCTCAACACACGGACATGAATCACATATTTATTGTTTCAGCGTGACTTTATAAGAGCATCATTCATCTCTCACAAACGTCCATGAATCCACTTAGAAATCAGAGAGTAAAGATGCTCCTCATGACTGCAGAATTAGCATGTTTTTAAGTTTCCTTCAGTATCAGAGGAACTCAGTGAGAGTTGTCTGAACATCCACAAGTTCACTGCTAACAGAAAAAAGCCAACAGCTAACTACCCAATCCAATCCATTATACTTCCTGTTTGCACTGCAGAAGCATTTTTGTCCTGGTAAACAACAAACGGTGATGTTGAGATACAGTAAATCTCTATTTTTGATGCCATCGTGAAGGAAATGAGCGGGCGCGTTCAGGAAACGAGCTGATCGCAGCTGATTTTCAGCGTTCTGAGCTGTTTCTGGTTTCGTTTTTGCAGGGAGTGACTGGAAAAGACGGAGCTCGAGGAGAGCGAGGACACTCAGGAAACCCAGTAAAGAAAAAACCTTTTACACTTTCTCTTTATTCTCATTTTCTGCCATTTTTAAACACATTTGAACAAACATTATTACATTGTGCATTAAAATATGTGTAAAAAGAAACACATTTATAGTAAAGAGTATTTATAACACATAATCAACACTGATCACATACATTATTGATTATTGTTTGCTGTTTATTTGCCTTCTGAATGTGTTTGTGGACCGAAGTGTCTCTGTGGAATTCAGCCGTCACATTAAGATGACGGAGTGAAGCTCGGAGGCGTTGACCTCTGACCTCCGGCTGGTTGACTGATGGGTTGAACTGTCGTCCTCAGGGTATCCCGGGTATCAGAGGGGAGGCGGGGCTGAAAGGACAGCGAGGACTGAGAGGAGATCCAGTGAGTCCATTTTAGATCTATGTTTATATGCAGTATTTATTATTATTGTATTGATCTGTGATTGAACGTTCACTTTTAGACCATATTTCACCGGTTTTAAGTTTTCATCCTCTACAATGTGCAGAATATTGTCACTTTGGAGCCAAAAACGACGTCCAAACCATCGTCTCCTCATCAGTGAACCCCCATGAAACAGGAATACCAGGGCTGTTTGCAGCAGGCAGTAGGGAGGGTCGTGGATATTGATTGGTGTTTACAACAGCCAATAGCCAATAGCAATGTAGCTATAAAGTAGGTCTTTGTACAGTACTCAGTGAGGCCATAGATATCTGTAACACATCTGCCCTCAGAAACACTGTAAATCCTTCATTAGTTCCTTCCTTTGACTCGAGTGGAAAACAGATTCTTATCACTTATTTATTTATTTATTAAAACTCAGTTATGTGTTTTAGTTTTTGTCCCTGTTTTCACTCAGTTTAAAGACTTTTATCTGCTGATGGAGTCGTTGGAGTCTTAAAGATACAGTGTGTGTTTCACAGGTTCCCAACCTCCACTAGGGGTCGCCAGAGCTTCACAGGGGGTCGCAAGGCTTTCTTGATTTAGAGAGGTGTGAGAAAACTGTAAAGAGATATACACAGAGGGCCGATAACTCTGCACTTTATTCATTTCTGTGAAGAAAATGTGTTCTAACTGAATATAATACGTTACTGTCCCTTATGGAGGAAGGCTGCTGATAAAAGCACTGAAAGAGTTTCTGTTTTTCTTCATTCATGAGGGTTTTCAGGGATTTGTACTTCACAGAGAATTTAATATTTGTCGGATTTATTATGAGCTGAAGGGAACAGGAAGGAAGCACGCCCGTCAAAGTAAAGCTCCAAATGTCAAAGTCTGAAAATCCCTCAAAGAAACACAAATCTCTCTTCTTATGTTTCCAACTGCAGAACAAGGAATTACATTTGTAATTTTAACTCATAATTCATTTCATTTTAAATATGGATCGTTGTATATTTTCTCTTTTATTGTTCGATTGCAGCCAGAAGTGACTGAAGGAGTTTTCTTCATTATTTGGCAAAGAGAAGTTTTATAAAGAAGTTTTGGGCTGATTTATAATAATAACGATTGATATAGTATTTACACATCAATCTTTGGTATTCAAACTGGTTAATAAATTATAATTATAGACAGAAACCTCAGTGTTGTTGTTCTACAAGTTTGGAGGTAAAAAAGTTGGGATAGACTAATTATTGTTTATTTATTCAGCATTTTTCCTTTTATGCTACAAGCTAGAAAGCTAACGTGCTGGGTAGCAGTAATAAAGTTATATTTTGTATTAAAAATATCTAAAGTTATTAATAAATGTAGTGGAGTGGAAGTATAAAATTACACTCCTACTAATGTATATTGGTTTATCCTTTATCCTTCATTACTAATAATCAATATCTGTATCGGACCTGAATCATATCTGTCGCCAAGGTTTGTCACCAAGAAGCCTCCGTATGTTCAAACCCAGCGTCCCTGCGGTCACAGAAGGTCTTCAGTAAATGTTTTCACTGTCAGTAAATCTAATATCAGCTGTTAGAAAGTGATACGGTCAAACACAGCTGGAGCACAGCTGGACACCAAACACTGAGTTTACGCCGTCGGACTGTCTGAGTTATACGACTGTGTGTTTGTGTTTCGTCTGACAGGGTGAATCAGGAGCCGATAACACCGTCCCCGGAGCCAAAGGAGACCCCGGGAACCCGGGTCTACCGGTGAGGAGGACCGGACTGGTTTCTGTTTCTGTTGAATCTTTTGAGCTTCAGATTCATTTTCATTTCATTAACAACAAACAAACAAATGTATCAAACTGCGAAAAAGTCTGAAGTTAACAAATGATTTTAGTCTCTAATTTATCTTATTCTGTCAGAATGAATCAGATTTTAAATCATTCTAAAATACGTACATATACACAAACTTTGTATATAAATATCCACAGTAGGCCGATATCTCAACATTTCATTCATTTCTATGACGAAAACTTAATAAAAACTGTTATTTTTAAGTTTTGTAAAGTAGTTTGAGTAATTGTAAGTAAAACTGAAAAAAACTAGTAAAAAGTATTAATAAAGAATTTTTTTAACTCACAAAATTGAGTTTGTGTAACTTAAAATGTTCGATGTGAACAGTTTTTAAACAAAATAATGTATCACATTGAATTAAATAAACTCTGAGCTGAACACAAACTGCATCAGAACAACGGAAAGAAAACCTCTGAACTGAGCCTGTGAAGTCTGTATGATTGTTAAAAGTAAAAATAAACCATTACACAGAGGATTGTATACAAAGTTACTAAAAATATCAGAAAAAGTCAAATTCACAGGAAATAAAATTAGAAAAATGCAAAAACCAAATGTATTTGTGTAATATAGTATTATTAGTCAGCTGACTCGGTGCTAGAAAAGGTTGAGAACCTCTGACTTTAACGCTGTTTGAATCCACAGGGTACACCTGGACAGGACGGGCGGCCAGGTGAGAGTGGAATCGTTGGAAACTCGGTAAGATTGAACTGTTTCCCATCTGTATGTCGTCATTATAAAATATATATTTTACAACTTGCATTATTAACAGTGTCTTAATAAGCTAAAAGCTTCGACTTTGCAGGTTATAAAAACTCAGTCAGGCTTTAGTTAGTTAACGTTAATTCACGTAATCACGTTATCGCATCGCTTTAATTTTCTCTACGGACGAGCTTGTTTTTTTAGAGCTGTTATCATGAGATCACAAGTTGTGTTGTGATGTTGAAAAGACAACCACATTGTGAAGACGGTTAAAATATAAGAGACAAATATATAAAGTCACATATTAAGATAACGTTAGCTAACGTTACGCTACGAGCCAGGGTAGCAGATTTATATTTTGTATTAATAATAATAACTGAAGTTATTAAATAAAAGTATAAAGTAGCATAAAATGGAACTACTCAAGTATTTAAAATAACACTAACTAACTAACTAACTAATCTGTTTTAATTGTTAGCCAGCACGGTACATCTAATAGCTAAACAAAACTAGCTAATGTGCTAGCTAACAATTTGATGTAGATTAGCTAGTTAGTTAGCAAGTGTTTTGTTAACTTAAGATGTCTTTTATCTTTTAACCATCCTCAAAACATGGTTGTCTTTTTTAGCCTAGCACGTAGCATATCTGAGTCAACTGTGATTGGAGCACAAGGCAAAAAGAGGCGGGACTTATGAAGGGTCAATGAAAGCCTGTTTCTTATCTGTGTACACATTTTACTGACTTCTTTTAGCCCACCTCCAGTTGTTTTGTGTTTTTATCTACAGCAGAAATAATGTTTAACTCTTCTTGTTGTTTCTGTGCTGTTCAGGGTCCGGATGGAAGAAGAGGGTCACTCGGTGAGAAGGTAGGAGAGGAAGTCAAACGACACTCTGGTTCTGGTTTTAAACGCCTGCAAACGCCGTCTTTAAACTGTGTGTGTGTGTGTGTGTGTGTGTGTGTGTGTGTTCCTGCAGGGTGCACCTGGACCGCCTGGAGATCCAGGACTCACAGGGAGCCAAGGTGCTTCAGGTACACAGGTGAGATACGTGAGGACGAGTTTAGCTCACTACAAACTTCATACTGGAGTTACAGAAAGTTTATATCAATCCGTGTTGTCTCTGCAGGGTGCCAGAGGGGTCAGAGGTCAACCGGGACCGAGAGGAATCCCTGGTCTTCCTGGACCTCAGGTCTGTACGTCACCAGTCCAGTAACTCGCCTGACCCCAAACCGTTAGTGTGTCTATGCATCATCAGAACTCGGATATACAAACGTACTGATGCAGAGCTCTGGTACTGGACTCTGAGATCCAGAGCTCTGGTTCTGGACTCTGAGATCCAGAGCTCTGGTTCTGGACTCTGAGATCCAGAGCTCTGGTTCTGGACTCTGAGATCCAGAGCTCTGGTACTGGACTCTGAGATCCAGAGCTCTGGTTCCGGACTCTGAGATCCAGAGCTCTGGTTCTGGACTCTGATCCAGCTGCGTTGCTGAGTGAGTCTCACTGTTTACTACATGGCCAGTAACACATGAACAATGCAGCTCTGCAGCCCGGTTCCCACGGGGTTCCATGGAAGTCACAATAAACCATAATTCCAGCTCAAAAATCAGCCACTAAAAGTCTGTAAAACTCACTTTATTGAGCTGAATTTAAGAATTTGATCCTTAATCTGAGATAATAATTAACCAATAAACACAGTTTCTTCAATCTGCATTAAAATCTGACTTTTTGTTAAATGAACCAGAAATATTCTTATTTTTATCTTTTTTTATTTAAACAATAAAAAACTAAACAGCTGCTTTATTTCCAACACTGGGACCAGACGAGTGTGAGTGCTTTTACTCTGAAAATAAGGACAATAATCTGGTTCCTCTGCTGGGATATTATGCAACCAGTGTTGTTACTGGTTAAATTGAGCTCCATATCAGCTGTAATAGCTTATTAAGACAAAGTTAGAGATATTTGTTGTTTGTATATTTACAATAATTATTTTTTTTTAGATAAAAATAAAGAAACAAGGTTTTTTTTTTTTTTACCTCCCTGAGATTCCTTGTTTGTCCCTAAAAGGCCGACCTGTAATAAACCTGCATCATTAAACCCGGAGGAATCAAACCGAGGTTAAATGTGTTAATACTAAACCTACCGGTAACTTATATGGCTGTTTGTGAGCAGGTGCTGTTCTGTGTTGTCAAGAAAAAACTCCTGAAGTGATTTCTTGAAACGAGTGGGAACCGTGAGGAGCTTCTTTTAGATCGTCAGCGGTTGTAAAAAAGCTCCACAGATTCATCCTGAAGATTCGGATTAACGAGTTACTGTGGTTGTCATATTTGACGCCTTAATCACCGCGAGTCACAAATCGTGCCGACTGACAGATGACGCCTCGCCTGGTTTCTGGTTCCAGTTAGGAGGCAGCCACGTTCCCTCGCAGTTCTTACGGTTTACTTCAGGGTGTCGGCTCGGGTTCAGAGGGAACCTGTATGAAGCCGTGTTGTTGGATGTTGTTCAGAATATTCGTCGTACAGGTTCTGATTGTTGCTGTTTCAGTCCCATCAATGTGTTTTATAGATCTGACCTCAAATTATCTTTATTTATGAGCGCTACATGGAGGTCGTTAAATTAAATGACCACAAATCAGCACCAGAAACAACTTCTCAGAGTGGATTCGTCCCAAAAGACTCATCTGGGGAATGGGGAGTGTCACCAGGCAGATTAATAGTATAACGTCTTCTGTAATCCTGATTCATCTGTTCTGAGTTATTAGAAATAAAAGGCTGTCGCAGCACCAGAACGCTCAGTGGATTACTTTGACTTCCTTCAGTTCCTCTCTGATCAATTATCTCATAATAAACTGAACCGCCGTCACAAATAAACGCAAACACACATGAAACTGAAAATGGCTACCACAATCAATTTTGGTGATGCATTCGAGGACACTCTGTTGGTTTCAGCTCTGCTCTGACTCTGTTGGTTTTCCTGCAGGGTGGACCGGGACCAGGTGGAAACCCGGGATTAGCCGGACGCCGCGGAGCCAACGGACAGAAGGTGAGTGACATTATTTCCTCTCACTGCCTCATCAGATCGATGAGAGTTAGTTAGCATTAACCTGACGTCACAAGATTTAAAGTCCACATGAAACAGGAATCAGAGAGCTGTTTGCTTCCACGTGTGTTACATCCACCGAGTCCAGCAGTTACACATACAGTACATTAGCAGCTAGCGGAGGACGTCAGAGGGAAAACCAGACAATATTCTCTCCATAAAATATGATCCAGTTTCACCCAAATCACTGATAAAGTTGTGTTTGTACAGTGATATCAACAAATAAAACAGAAAGCATTACACTGTGTACTGACCCATGCTAGAAGAATTAATAACAAGGACTCGCTGAGACCCAGTGGGTTGTTATATTTTCATACAGTAAGTAGCAGTGTCTTGTGATAAGGGAAATAAAAACAAACTGTTGTTGTTGAAGGGCCAACCAGGAGATCCGGGAGATAAAGGTGTTCGAGGATCGCAGGGACCAGGAGGGATGCCGGTACGTAGACCGAACGTCTGCTGTGGTTGTGTTTGTATCCTGTGGAATATAAAGTGAAACTGTCTCTGCTTCAGGGTCAGGATGGAAAGGACGGTTACGGACCTGCAGGACCTAAAGGTGCCAAGGTAGAGGAGACCTCCACGGTTAAATTAACTGAATATTTGTACATTACTGGACACGTTACGTTAGATAACTGCTCTATCCGTCTCGTTACAGGGAGATCCTGGTTTCCCTGGTTACCCCGGTCTAACGGTGAGTCCATCTGTTCCCAACATTATCAGGGGCCAAATAAAGCTGTACGCTGACCCGGCTGGGCTCAGTTTAGGCTGATTATCTCCTGGAAAGCTTCATATTTGAACATTTAACACAGAAAAACAGCAGAGTTCACTTCAACAGCAGAAGCAACTAAACAAAGGAAGGGAAAAGATAAATACTGTCTGTATTCACTGATTATGTCTCATCGCTTCCTGCAGTGGTTCACATTAACCGCTGCTGACATCGGGATTTTTACTTACTTACTGTTGTTTCTTTGAGTGTCATAAAATGATTCATATCCCTAAAATCTGTTCAACCTCAGATAAAAGGTTATAAAAACTAGAATACTTGAAAAAGGTTCTTGAACTGAGTCATAAATAATTGACTTGTTTTTCATCAGATTTTTAAAAATAAAAACAACAACAAAAAAAACAGTTTCTAAAAGACAAAACATGAACAAAATATTTCTACAGAAGTTATTTGAATATGTTTTGGCTGCTCCTCTTTTCCTTACTTCGCATCAAGTATGTGTCTCTTAAATAAGATTTATACCACATGCAAAACACTGAAGAGGATTAGTGTCTGAAGGGAAGACTCAGAGGTCAATGGATTAATGCCAGGTTTTCCAACGCCTAGCGTTAGCCTAACTTTGGAGCGTTATTTAGCCTCTTCGGTTGCCAGTGCCACCCCCTCTGGTCACGCCCTCTGCTCCTCCGGGGTGGCGAGGAGGCGTTTTAGGCTGCATTAGACGTGTTTACAGTCCGATGAATTACTAATGACTGCTGATGTTGTGAGGTGAGAGAGTGCGCTGAAACAACCTGCTTTTATTTATCCTCTCACTCGTTGGTCTGGTGGGGAGAGCTTAAAGTCCGAGTGTGTTTGGATATTTGAAGATAATCCAGAGCTAAAGTCTGAGAAACAGGAAGCCCGTTGAAGTGGTGCATTCGCTGTGTGATAGAGATTGTGTGTTTGTTGTTCAGGGTGAGAACGGCCAGCAGGGACCCAAAGGATACCCAGGACGTAAAGGGAACCCGGGTCGAGGCGTGAGTCAAAACTTTTATTTATTTTTGACTTCATTTGTTTTATTTGCTTCATCGCTGACTTTTGTTTCCGGTCTGACTGATTCAGGGAAACTCAGGCGTGTCGGGAGAGTCGGGAGTAAATGGAGAGCCGGGAAATCCAGGACACAGGGTGAGTATCAAGCAGTCCAGACCACCTTAACTCTGCATACCACCTTAAAGCTCCAGTGTGACAAACCAATCACCGGCTCTAGATTGGGACGTAGTTTCTCCTACGCACTCGAGAAGCTATTTAACCAACCCTTCTTAAGCCCCGCCCCTTTTTGGTAGACTTTCTCCTTTGCTGTATTTAGATACTTAACTTTTTGCTAACATTAGCTAACTTGAGATGTGACTATATATATCTTCAGAATGTAGTTGTCTTTTCAATATAGATTAGCATAGCCTGTAGCCGAAGGACCAAGTGACCCAAGGCGTTTTCAACTGGTATTGGAGCACAGAGCAAAAAGGGGCGGGGCTTAGGAAGAGTCAATCGGTTGCAATCTGCAACTTCACGGCAAGAGGCCACAATATCCTGCACACTGGTCCTTTAACAGACAGTCCGGCATATTAAACCTTCAAATTCAACATACCACCTTAACTCTAGAGCTTTTGGTCGGTCACTATTGTTTGACATTTTATAAAATAAATGATTAATATCTTATGATACATCTTTATGTTTCATGTTAACTCTGTCTACGTTCCACCTTAAGAAAATAAAAACATCTGTTTATGAACACCATGAGCAGTTAAAAAAGCTTTAATAAGGGTTAATAATGCCTCCTCCTCCTCCTCTCCTTCTTCTTCCCAGGGTCCCAGAGGTCCTCCTGGAAGCATGAACATGACAGTAAGTCCACCTTAAGATTCACCTAACCTGCCAACGTTAAGGGCAATATTAAATCTTCTCGGTGTTCATTGGTTGTTTTCCGTTCTGTCAGGAGTGCCAGCTGATCAATTACATCCGAGACAACTGTGGTAAGAAGCTGTTCACACTTCACAAGGTTCTGACCTTATTCACTGTTTCTACGACTCTAAAGGATGTTTTCTTTCCTCCACACAGCCTGTGCCATCGGTACGTATCTTCATCCTTACAATCACATCAGTACGGTGAGTACGGTGAGTACGCAGTGTGCCGCTCAGATAACCAGCCAGGACCGGGGGAGGCTGCGGGTGAATGCCAACTATCTCTTCTGTTGGAGTTTATTGGAAATAATCCCGAAATCTGTGAGTCCTGCATTCTGATTGGCTGCTGGGGGTCCATTAATTCCTGATGTAGGAGACCTACTGAGCAGTTCCAGTGAAACTGTCTGTTCACCGTTTTAAATCAATGTGCTGAAATAAACTGAATGAAAACAGGCTGATAGCTGCTGGTTGTTGTTAAACGTCAAATTATACTATTGCTGTTCGACTATTAGCAGTTTTATTGACTGAATGTTGCTAGCGTAACATTAGCTCTCTGTCTGTAGCTCTCACTCTCTCCTTCCTTCTTCTTTGCTCTATTTTACTCTTCTTTGTTGGTTTTCAGATAAATCGGAGTGCCCGGCGTATCCCACCGAGCTGGTGTTCGGTCTGGACATGTCCGAGGATGTGACCCCGGCAGCCTTCGAGAGGCAACGCTCCGCCCTCCTCTCCCTGCTGGACGACATCACCATCGCCGAGAGCAACTGCCCGACGGGCGCCCGGGTTGCCGTGGTGGGATACAGCGCCCACACCAAATACCTGATCCGCTTCCAGGACTACCGCCGCAAGACGCAGCTGATCGAATCTGTGAGGAACATCGCCCTGGAGAGGACCTCCAACCGACGCCAACTTGGAGCCGCCATGCGCTTCGTGGGTCAGAACGTCTTCAAACGCGTCCGATCGGGAATGATGATGAGGAAGGTGGCTGTCTTCCTCTCTAACGGGCCCACGCAGGATGTTAACGACATTGTCACCGCCCTAATGGAGTACCGCGGCCTCAACATCGTCCCAGCAGTCATCTCTCTGAGGAACGCTCCTGCTATTGGTCGAGTGATGGAGGTAGGTTTGATGATTGTTTTGGTAACATTAGCTAACTTAAGATGTGGGTATGTACATGAGGATGAACACAATCTGAAGTCTCCTTTTGATTCAGTAAGTTTAACAAACGACGCTTTGCTGCGGTGCTCATCATCCGGTGAACATCTGGATCGGGGTGCATTCAGGTAAAAGTAAACACGGCTCTTCAGGCTTCATCGCGAAGGATTATAGTCATTAATGCTTCAACAAACAGTCTCAGTGTTCGCTCGTCCACACCGAACATCTGAGTTCAGCTCCCTTTCCTGCCAAGAACGAGGTTTTCTTGTTTGGCTCCAAAACACAGGACTTCATTCCAGCTCCCTTCCTACTGCGTCTCCCTTTTTGGTTACATCCAGCAGCTGCTGCCAGACGTTTGTCTTCAGCCTGAAACCTGAGAACGAAGCCTCGCCTGCACGGCTGCAGGAAGATGGAGATTGATGTGATGTGGTTGTAGTTTTCTTTAATCTTGTGGCTCCATCGCAGCTCTCAGATCAACGATTAATGATCAACGATTAATGATCAATGATTAATGATCAATGATATTAATGCTGATGTTTCTCCTCAGGCTGACGACTCAGGAAACTCCATCTTTACGGTGCTGGGGAGGGACACGGCTGCTGACCTGAGGAAGGTGAAGAACTGTGCAATCTGTTACGGTAAGTTCCCGACCTCCACAAGGGGTCGCCAAAAGCTTCACAAGGACTTCTTGATTTCAAGAGTTGTAAGACAACCAAAAAAAAAATATACATACATAAGAACTTTTTATTGCTCTGACATGTTAGCAAATGTTAGCATGCCTTGCTAACTGCAATATTATCTACAGCAGCAACCAACCATTACTTCCTAGGCTAAGATTTAGCATATTATGAGCTAACTTCATTAGTTTACATTCGTTCAGGACCCACTGTGAGGGAGCGGGCTGTCAGAGTTAAAGTAACGTTAGCTTAGCTACAGTTAGCTAGTTGGATGCCCCTGCCTCACTTTGTTGGACTCTGTTGGACTCTGTGTTGGACTCTGTGTTGTGGACTCTGTTGTGGACTCTGTGTTGTGGACTCTGTGTTGTGGACTCTGTTGTGGACTCTGTGTTGGACTCTGTGTTGTGGACTCTGTGTTGTGGACTCTGTGTTGGACTCTGTGTTGGACTCTGTGTTGTGGACTCTGTGTTATGGACTCTGTGTTGGACTCTGTGTTGTGGACTCTGTGTTGGACTCTGTGTTGTGGACTCTGTGTTGGACTCTGTGTTGTGGACTCTGTTTTGTGGACTCTGTTGTGGACTCTGTGTTGGACTCTGTGTTGTGGACTCTGTGTTGGACTCTGTGTTGTGGACTCTGTGTTGGACTCTGTGTTGTGGACTCTGTTTTGTGGACTCTGTGTTGTGGACTCTGTGTTGGACTCTGTGTTGTGGACTCTGTGTTGTGGACTCTGTGTTGTAGACTCTGTGTGGACTCTGTGTTGGACTCTGTGTTGGACTCTGTGTTGGACTCTGTGTTGATGTGGACTCTGTGTTAGACTCTGTGTTGGACTCTGTGTTGTGGACTCTGTGTTGTGGACTCTGTGTTGGACTCTGTGTTGTGGACTCTGTGTTGGACTCTGTGTTGGACTCTGTGTTGTGGACTCTGTGTTGGACTCTGTGTTGTGGACTCTGTTGTCTCTGTGTTAGACTCTGTGTTGTGGACTCTGTGTTGTGGACTCTGTGTTGGACTCTGTGTTTGTGGACTCTGTGTTGGGACTCTGTGTTGTGGACTCTGTGTTGGACTCTGTGTTGTGGACTCTGTGTTGTGGACTCTGTTTTGTGGACTCTGTGTTGGACTCTGTGTTGTGGACTCTGTGTTGGACTCTGTGTTGGACTCTGTGTTGTGGACTCTGTGTTGGACTCTGTGTTGTGGACTCTGTGTTGTGGACTCTGTGTTGGACTCTGTGTTGTGGACTCTGTGTTGGACTCTGTGTTGTGGACTCTGTGTTGTGACTCTGTGTTGGACTCTGTGTTGTGGACTCTGTGTTGTGGACTCTGTGTTGGACTCTGTGTTGTGGACTCTGTGTTGTGGACTCTGTGTTGTGGACTCTGTGTTGTGGACTCTGTGTTGTGGACTCTGTGTTGTGGACTCTGTGTTGTGGACTCTGTGTTGTGGACTCTGTGTTGGACTCTGTGTTGTGGACTCTGTGTTGGACTCTGTGTTGTGGACTCTGTGTTGGACTCTGTGTTGTGGACTCTGTGTCCAGCAGCAGAGGAACAAAGCTCCACTACAACCTGTTCACTCTCTGCTCACACACTGAAAGTGCTTCACAATCTCACATATTGAACCTTTAACCAGAACTGATTCTTGTGTCTTCAGATCCCTGCAAACGTTTGGAGCAGTGCAGCTTCATCCAGGAACCGGTTCAGCCTCAGGAGGTCGACTTGGACCTGGTCATGGTGGTGGACAGCTCCAGGGAGGTGCAGGCTGATGAGTACTCCGGTGCTCAGCAGCTGTTGGGTTCTGTGGTGGAGCAGTTGGCTGTGAGCCCGCAGCCCCGCAGGCCCGGCAAACAGGCCCGGGTGGCTGTAGTCCAGCAGAGCGGTACCCAGGCTGTTAAGGTGGAGTTCGGCCTGCAGACCTACCAAAACCACAACCTGATGAAGAGGCACCTGATCCAGAACATGCGTCAGCAGGGCGGCTCCTCTGCGCTGGGACATACGCTAGAGTTCACCCTGGATATGCTCCTGAAGGCCAGCCAGCCCCGGAGGAGGAGGGCAGTGCTGACCGTGGTGGGAACCCAGACGGCTTACCAAGACCGAGCCAGGCTGCACTACATCTCCCAGAAGGCCAAGTGTGAGGGGGTGGCGCTGTTTGTGGTGACAGTCGGCGAGCGCTACAACCGGACCCAGGTGGAGGAGCTGGCCAGTCCACCTGTACAGCAGCACCTGATCCACATCAGCAATCTGAAGGCTGACGAGCAGGGCTACGCCCAACGCTTCTTCAGGGTCTTCCTCACCACCCTCAACAGTGAGTTCTCCTCTTCATCCTCTTCATCCTCTTCATCCCCTTCATCCCCGCATATCGTCAATTTAATTCAAGTTTATACTTTTCAGAAGGAAATGTGTATTTTTTTACATTTATTTGACAGTTAAATGTTAAATATAAACATTTCACTGAGGGATATAAAATAATAAAAGTTATAAGAAAACAAACTTAAAGTGTAAATTCTGCTAACGGGATGTAACAGTGACCCGAGTACCGCTGCCGGTAGTCAGAGCTAACAGTGCTAACAGTGCTAACAGAGCTAACAGTGCTAACAGAGCTAACACAGCTAACAGAGCTAACAGTGCTAACACAGCTAACAGAGCTAACAGTGCTAACACAGCTAACAGAGCTAACAGTGCTAACAGAGCTAACATAGCTAACAGAGCTAACAGTGCTAACACAGCTAACAGTGCTAACACAGCTAACAGGGCTAACACAGCTAACAGTGCTAACAGAGCTAACAGTGCTAACACAGCTAACGGTGCTAACAGTGCTAACACAGCTTAACGTTAGCTTTAGCTTTACTTTATGTATCAGATGTAACTAGCTAGTTAACGATTGATGTACATTAGCTAGCTCGTTAGCTAGCGTACACAGTAAATGTGGTTGTCTTTCCAACATAGATTAGCCTAGCATAACATATCTACGTACAGGAAAGGCTTGCTCCACTGTGATTGGAGCACAGCGGAAAGGGGGCGGAGCTTACAAGCAATAGGGGGCGGAGCTTATCCTGTATAATTCTGATACTTGACTCGATTTAATCAATAACACAATTACATTGTTTTGGGGTTAAATAACTCTTCTTTTATTTATAGATAAAATAAAAGTATAAACGCACAATTTATACGAAATATAAAACAATTCAAGAGTTCAAAAGAGAGTTGATGTTTACACACAGCTCAAAGCTTTCACTCAGTAATAAAATACTGTGTCCTGTTTATTCCAGAGGGAATTAACTCGTATCCTTCTCCCGCTTTAAAACGGACGTGTGACCAGCTGACAGACGATGGAGGACAAACATTCATACCCAGGTAACTGGTTTCTGTCTATCTGTGTGTGAGGCAGACGAACTGAAGTCACTTCACAGACATGTTATTGACCTAACTGTTGTTGGAAGCTGGTTCCAGATCTGTTGGAAGCGCCACTCTTACGTTGTACATTATCTTATTAACCTTATCCACCACTGCTGCCAGTTCATGTGCACTGTTATTGTTAATGAGTGAGTCTGTGTCGCTGTGTGGGGGCCAGTCGGGGGTCGGTGGACGTGAAGGAGGACTTCAGGGAGGAAGAGGAGGAGGAGGAGGAGGAGGAGGAGGAGGAGAGGTTTGAGGAGCAGACGGGAGGACAGACTCAGACCGGCCAGCTGGACATCATCGAAACTCTGACCAGAGGAGACGGCCAGAGATTTGTCTCAGGAGTGGACGGTAGCACGCACACACACACACACACGCGCACACACACACACACACACACACACACACACACACACACACACACACGCACACACACACACACACACACACACACAGCAGATAAAATGAAGCTAAAAACAAACTTACTGCACTAAAATGGACTAATTAATAAATAAAAGGCTCCAGTATATAATATTTCCTCATTAAACAGAGTGAGCCAATTCTTTATGTAGGTGATCCGATCAATAATCTATAATCATTAAACAGTGCATTAACTCTGTGTTCTGTATGGAGTTGAGTTGAGTTCTTATATTTTGTTAAATGTTTCCAACAATGTTCAATACGTAGATTTCCATCAGCAGTGACTACAACTCCCATGATCCCACAGAATAAAATCGCTCTTCACCAGACTCCAGAGACAAAAACGCTAATTTTACCTCCTAACATCTCAAAATAGTTCTAATCTCTAATCTCATATATAAATAACCTTTAAGGTAGCATGTATCCTCCCGTGTCTCCAGGGGGCGCTGTGTGAACGCTGATAAATGGCCTCAAGTGATGTCACCTGAGTCACCACTGGCTAAAGACTACGAGTTTGAAAAAGATAAAAATCTGAGAGTTAGACAGAAGCGCTCCACCCGGCTACGTTAGCCACAGCTAGCATAACACCCAGCTATCACCCAGCCAACTGTCGGTGTTGCATTCTGGGTAATGTAGGCACCAAACAATGTGTGAAATAAAAAACACCGGTATCTCTGGTTCTGCTGCTCTGATTCGGACACATTTGAGGACTGCGACACTCTCAGAGTGTCCTGTGTATGTCCATGTGGAAGCCGTGCTGTTAGCATGTTTACCTCTTTTATATGTTATTTTGTTTATGTCATTAACACATTTGTTTGTCTGGAATGATTGCATGTGTTCTCCCGGCGCGGCGGCTCGTAAATAAAACCAGTGTACTCCTGATGAGCCGCGGCGCCGGAGGATCAGTGTTTGTAGTAAATGTGTGTGTTCTGCTTGCAGCCCAGTGTCAGCTGGAGTCTGACTCTGGCCTCCAGTGTGCCGACTATGTCCTGTTGTGGTTCTTTGACAAAGCCATCGGTGCATGCGCTCACTTCTGGTACGGCGGGTGCGGCGGTAACGCCAACCGCTTTAACTCGGAGTTTGAATGTTTGCAGACATGTGGGCACCACAGTAAGTCCCCGACGGAGTGAACCCAGCAGCGTCTGTGTGGACTAACGAGAGTTAATGTTTGATATTAACATCGTCTTCATGTTGTCGGATTACTTTAATGTTCTGTTTGTTCTGCGTACAATAACAACAACACTAAAACTAGCTGCATGCTAATTCCTCCCACAGTGCAGGAGAGCAGATCATCTTTAATTAAGCTTTAATGGGTTTTAAAGGGACTTTGTTAGTTACAGTGTCATCCTCAGACGTCTTTAAAGTCCAGGTGAAATGTTAGCTAATCTTAAAGATTGATTGACGAGTGAATGTCTGATATTATTGATTGAAATCAGTTAGTTCATGCTGACACATTTAGTTGTACAGGAAGACACAAAGATTGATTTTAATATAAAATACACAGAAACTGAAGCGGGGGTTATGGGGGGGTTAATACAGGAACAATGTGACTGAGATCTTAAAGGGTTAAAATGACGTTTTCCTTCACCTGGACTTCACGTGGCTGAGACAGGAGTCGTTAATCTTTATGGTAATTGTTGTTCCTGCTGTTGATGTGTGAACTCGCTGTAAAGCTCAGGAAGCTCAACCTGACGGCGTGCTGCTGATGTCTCTGTCGTCTCTCACAGATCCAAACATCCTGTCGAGTCCGGAGCTCGAGCTGACCAGCTTCCCCTCCAAAGGTAAAAAAACCAGGAACTTTGAACTGAATGTGCGAATGTTTGAAGAACTTCCCTCCAGGAAACTGATCGGATCGACTTTAAAGACGTTCACGAATAAAAGTTATCAAAAGCTTCAGGTTTCATCCAACGACACGTTTTATACAATGATGTGCTCCTGATACCAGGTGGACCGGATCCACCTTAAACCCGGTCAACCTCAGGACTTTAAATTCTGTTTAAACGCAACGAACACACAATATATCATAGTTAAAGGTACAAACTAGAGGAAGAGGAGGGGAGGATTTAGGAGAATTTACCGGATTCACCAATTTTCTCTTCACAATTAACGAGGTCCGGACCGCTCGGGCTGTAAATCGTGTTTCTATAAAGCCGTTTGAGACGGTTTCAGACACCAAGATCTGGTTGTTTGGCCGCTGAAACACGATATGAAACCATTTTTATTATCTTGATATAACAAATTGATTAATGACCTACACTGCAGTCCACCACCAGGGGGCGGTAGAGAGAGAGAGAGGAGCTGCCATGTTGTTGATGGTCAGACCAAAATAAATGACGTCATAGTGAGGAAGTGAATCCGATTGGCTGCCTGGAAGGAAGGACGTTAATCTAAAAGCTGATTGATTATTTGGGATCAGCAGGAAGGGAAATATGTTAAAGTAGTAGCCGACTGTATAAAATAATCTTCACGTCTCCTTGCAGGGAGCTGCTTCCTGCGCCAGGACCAGGGCAGCTGTCAGAACTACACCATGATGTGGTTCTTTGACACCGAACAGAACGAATGTTCCCGCTTCTGGTACGGCGGCTGCGGCGGCAACAGAAACCGCTTCGAGACGCAAGAGGAGTGCCAGAACCTCTGCCTGACGAAGAGTCGATGAGGAGGAGGAGGAGGAGGAGGAGGAGGACGCCCTCCGGATCGGCTGGAGGAAAATCAGCCACTGTACGCCAAAAACAGCAACACGCATGTTCAAGGAACAACACCAAAGTTTCCTGAATGATTTTATTCGCAGTCTGTTCGGAGACGGTTTTCCTTCTAACCAGCTTCCTGCTAAAACGCCTTCAGGGAAAGTGGAAACTGCTCCAGGAGCTGCACGTTTGTCGGGTTGCCTTTTGGTCTTCTTTCTTGAACATGTGTGTTTATTTGTTCTTCGAGTTCGCCCTCGGAGCTCTTTTCTTCCTCACCAAACCTTCATCCTACATCCGACAGCAGGAAACTGTTGGACGTCGATCAAACGCGACGGACGCTCCTCGGAGACTCTTTCAGGCTCACATCAGGTGCTATTCTCACAAAGCGGGTTGGAGGCTGATGATGTTTGTTGAGTGAATGTTTGAAGGAATCACGTCGGAACATTAAAGTGTGTTTATGTGAATGAGCTCGATATCCACCAGCACGTCTCTGTTTGCTTGATTTGACTCACCGACCCTGAAGACGCTCCGTTTATAGGTTTTATTTAGATTTCTCAGTATGTACAATATACACCCACAATTCAACCTTATTAAGCTGTTTTTTTTTACAAAGATAGACGGTTTGTGATGGTAACTGTAATATCTGAGTCTTACTTTCAAAGTTTTGGTCTTTAATTGGTTCAACAGGAAGCTGAGATCCAGAAAAACCCTTAAAAAAACCATTTCAGGATTTCCTGGTTCCAATATCACCGCAGCAGAACAAAGTGAAACACACATAAATCTTATTTTATATCTGTGATGGCGTTGTGACGAGCTCCCGGCGAAGGTCCCGGCAGGTGAGGTTGTACCCGGCGTCGCGACAAGCTAACAGGACCAAGAGACGTAGATACCGCGTACTCCATTTGAGGGCGGCCATATTGGTGAGGTCAACAGTCCCTGTTTGGAAAAATGTCCCATAAATCTTGAATTATATGTTTTTATGGAGAGAAAATTCACATTTTCAGGTAAAATTTTATAGAAATTATACTTTGAAAAAATACGTTTGACAATATTTTGGGTTTGATCAGTTTGTGGACACGTGTTACTACAAAGATTCAAACATTTAACAGCCACGAGTCTGAATCTCTCAGTACTGTAACTAGTTGATGTTGACCTCTGCAATGTGGCGGCCGCGCAGATGTAAAATACAAAAGTACTAAAAAATAATAAAGAAATGATATCGAATCCGCCTCTAAACAATGATTCATGTTTTCAACCTGAAGGATATAAACTCCCTTTAGGTCACTGAAGCTGACGTTTGTGAGTAAAATAGTTCAACTGACCAAACTTTCAAAATAAGACTCAGACTTTTCTGTTCAGTGGAGGTGAAACAGCTCGCTGGCTAACGTCTGCTCAGTATCTGATTCACTCCACAAACACTGAAGAGGCTGCAGGGTCCCAGTTGGAGCCTTAAAAGGTCTGAACGACGGGGCTTCAACTTGTGTCTCCGCCTGTCTGTCCATCTGTCTGTCTGGATGTCTGTGGTTCGTCACACTGACCAATGGTGCTTCATGTAAAAACAACGATAATAAAGAATTTAAGAAAACCCCTGGAGTTGCTGCGTTGCAGTTCTTGTTTGTTCGAAGGGGATTTATGACCGCTGGGGGATAAAACACGCCGCTACTGCGTTTACACCACAAACCACAACTCGTATTCAGAGGTTGAACAGGTGGAGGTCAAACATTCACAGTTTTAAATAATGTCATAATGTTTGGAGGCATATTTCAGTTTGGGAGGTGATCCAGATGTTTTCTTTCAAATTAACGGTTCACTCCGTTTCTGTTTACATTGACTGTTGATCCAGTCTGAAGCCACATTGTTACCATCCTCTGTTTAGATCTTGGTGCTTTTTAACTCTAGATTTGAACCGGATGAAGGATTTTAGTCATCGGACGTCTGGATCTTAAGTTATCAGAGAAACAAGCTGAGCTAACGTTAGCAGCAGCTCGGCTCGCAGCCCCTCCGGGACGTCCTTTGTCTGTCCAACAGCGTGGGAGAAGCAGTGATTGTTAAGGTGGAACTGCTTTATTCAGTGTGTTTAAGGTGGAACTGCTTTATTCAGTGTGTTTAGTGGTTTATAATATTACATATTGCACACTGAACATAAGAACTGATGGTAAGTTTTAAAAGAATTGGTCCGTTTCAAACAGTTGCTGCTAGCTAAACCAGCTAATGAAGCTAACATTAGCGCCACATATGGTTGAAAACGGTAAAATAAAACGTGACTGCGTATTTTGAGGTTGTCTTTTCAACATAGATTAGCGTAGCGTGTAGCATATTTAAATACAGGAAAGGAGGAAGTTGACTGAGGCTTGCTCAACTGTGATTGGAGCACAGAGCAAAAAGGGGGCGGGGCTTAGGCCTGGATAATTAGTCAGTATTTTGATGATTAATTAGCTGTTTTTCGGTCGTATGCGACAGTAATTAAATACGTTTAGTTTTTTTTTCACACTTTAACATTTCATAAATAAATTAATCTGCATATAATCAATGAATAATAAATAATCATGAGTTGCTAAGCTAATTCATCTTTAATCGTTTATCTGAATGAAACAACCGATCAATAACACAAACATGAGGACAGATGATTGATGACAAACACCAGATTTTATTGGACAGTGAAGTGCAGGTCACGTTTTACATCAAACTTTATATTACACAGATTTAAAATAACGTATGTACAAACTCTACTACAGAGAGATAAAGAGTGAGACAGACATTTAGGAGTTAATATTTCTGGCTCAAACATTCAGCTGCTAATAAAGTTAGTTTCCTTTTTTTCGGAGGCGTCAAAAAGCGTCTAAAAAGCAAAATCAAGTCCAGGATCGGGTCCAAGTTCATCGTCTCTCCACAGAACAACATTAAGTTCTCACACGGAGATACGGCGGATTTAAGTTTAAATATAAGTTCAAACAAGAACTGAAATTTTAATATGTATATTTTAATTTGTTAGAAAACCACTAAAATGTGTTTGAAGCTCCTGTTGCGATGATTGTTCACAGCAGGTTCAGTTACATCAGAGTTAAAGAAAGTGGAAGGCGGAGAGAGGAAATGTTTTATGCTCTCTAATGATCCATCTGTGAACTGTGTTACATTATATTATATTATATTATATTATATAATATTATATAATGATATACTATATATATATATAATATAATATATTATATAATATATTATATAATTATATACTATATATATATTATATATGCGGCTGCATGATTACTGGAAACATCTCAAAGAAGGACTGTTGTTCTCCAGATGTCTGTTTGGTACAGAGGCCAACAAATGTTACATCATCAGGATTTAATTAGTGAAAATATAATTCGAGATGCACAAATGAAAATATAAAATATCTGCAGTATGATGTTCTTTCCATATGGGGCAGCCCAGTGACCTCTGACCTCTGACCACAGCCGATCGAAATATCGCAGACATATCGGACTGTATGCGATCAGTCTCAGGCCTCTTCAGGACAACACTTACAAACGCTCATATAAGCTGCAGTTTCAAGGTAATTAACTACATTAATGAGGCCACAGCCCGTCAGTAACGGTTGTGTGTGTGTGTGTGTGTGTGTGTGTGTGTGTGTGTGTATGTTAGTGTGAGAGTGTGTGTGTGTGTGTGTGTGTGTGTGTGTGTGTGTGTGTGATGTTAGTGTGAGAGTGTGTGTGTGTGTGTGTGTGTGTGTGTGTGTGTGTGTGTGTGTGGTGTGTGTGTGTGTGGAGGTGTGTGTGAGTGTGTGTGTGTGAGTGTGAGAGTGTGTGTGTGTGTGTGTGTGTGCGTGAGAGTGTGTGTGTGTGTGTGTGTGTGCGTGAGAGTGTGTGTGTGTGTGTGTGTGCGCGTGTGCGTGAGAGTGTGTGTGTGTGTGTGTGTGCGCGGCCGTCGTCGTCCTCACTTCCAGACTTTGACGATGCCGTCTCTGGACGAGGTCACGATGAAGCCCTGTGTGGTCTGGAAGGTGGCGATGTCAGTGATGATGTCATGGTGTCCCACAGGGAGGGATTCTGGGCCGCGGCGAGGAGAGTCCTCCACCACGCCGCTCTTCTGTTTACTGTGGATCTCCTGCAGAGACAGGAAGTGGTTTTAACCTCGGTGACGGTCACAGTGTGCAGTGTGTGTGTGTACCTGTGCAGTGTGTGTGTGTGTGTGTGTGTGTGTGTGTGTGTGTGTGTGTGTGTGTACCTGTGCAGTGTGTGTGTACCCACCTGTACGACTTCAGTCCCTTCGATGATCTTCCTGCTGTAGAGGACAGACGGACAGTGCAGCGAGTCGTTGGCTCCTCCCGCCACGATGTACGACCTCTCGGGATACGCCAGGTCCCAGAACCTGAACCACAAAACATTTAGTTTAAGTGTCTGCTGCTCCTGAAGGTGAGACCGACGCTTCAGATACCGTAAAACTTCAGTTCCTGAACCCCCCACTGGCCTTTATTGGGGGCAGGCCTTTAATTAACAGACTTTATGATGCTTCAGAGTCTCTGTTGTTCAGTGTGAGTCTGAATGAATGAACATTAAATGAATTAAAACTAGTTCAAGCGTTCGACCCGGTTTTTATACGTCCAGATAACTTCTATAAAATCCAGACCAGGCCTATATTGGAGACCTGCCACACCAGGCTGTTGTTATACTGTAATTCACATTGTTCTGATTCACTCTTGTGTTTCTGTTTGTGTTTGAGGAGAATTTCTCCAGAACCTCAGCGAGCAGCAGATGTTGTGATGCTGCAGGGAGGTCAGGAAGTCTGTCCTGTCCTCAGTGATTCATTATGTGGGAGCGAGTTTGGACCAGTCCTCTCCGTCTGTCACTGCAGAACCCTCCTCTGTGCTGACTCTTGTTTTAATCACAGTGATTGTTTGAAGCTGTAATACTTCTTTATTTGTCGCTTTGTCACATGTAGAACAGATGATGAGATTCTCACAGACGCCATTTATTCTGTTTTCATGTTTATGCATCATTTCATGATTCACTGGGTCCAATCTGACAGCGATCTACTTCACTGGTTCCCAACCTTTCTCCTTATGGGAGCCCCTTCTGTCAGTGAGTAAACTGACTATATCAAACATTATATTCAGTAATAACAGCAGAGAACAACTGATAAACTGAACAATAAGTATTAGTATTATTTTTTGGGAAATTACGCGAAAAAAGTCGTAATAATACGAGAATGCCTCAGCCTGAGCCCAGCAGCAGCTGTTTGTCTCAGTCCTAACGTACAATCAACAGGTAAACTAACATATTGATCATTTTGTTGTGAAACAGTTTTGCTGGTTGAGCCAACAGGCTGACAGTTCTCATAAAATTACGACTTTATTCTCGTAATTTCCCCCCCAAAAAATTCTCTCTTAGTCTGGCCGTCGTAGAACAACGTGTAAAACCAGAGATCTGTAAAAACATTTATATAAAATATACTACTTCAAATAAAATTAAGTTGGATTATTGTTAGAAAAGGCCCTGAGTGTGTTCTATGTGACAGTTTGTGGTTTGATGCAGGTGGTTGTTGTTGTTGTTGTTGTGGTTGTTGTTGTTGTTGTTGTTGTTGTTGTGTGTCTGGTTCAGACCTGATCCTCATGTCAGATCCAGCAGTCAGCAGCAGAGGGTTCCCGTCAGCAGGACTGCAGTAGATCCCGTGAACACTGTGAGGAGACGGCTGCAAAAGAAAATCAGTGTGCAGGATTTAGCAGCATCTAGCTGTGTAGTTGCAGATTGTAACTCCCTCGCATCACCCTCCCCTTCCAAATTAAACTGAAACTACGGTGGCAGCTGTAGAAACATGACAGACTCCGATAGAAGTAGATAAAGAAGAAGATGTGTTCATTAGCGTAGAATCAGGTGATTAAACACTAATGAACATACCTATGGATGTTATATACGATAGTCTGAATGTTATTATTCAACCGGTTTCCTGTTTCTGTTTTGGGGAAAATTGATGTTTAAAATGTGAAAGATTTGACACATTTGTAGAAGATGTAGTTTTTATAAAGTATAAAAGTGTAAATGATGCAAAGTATTAAAAGTCTACAGCACATAAAACCTTAAATGTCTCCAGCTGTGTGAAGTCTGATTCCTTTTTATTTTATTTGACCTTTATTTTAGCAGCGAGAATCTCTTTTCAAAATAAGTTCTGTCTGTGAGCAGAAGCACATAGTTTCACATAAAACAATAAAACATCAGGACATTAAGACAAACAGCATAAACAATGTCTCTAACAGGCTGATAACAACGAGAGTGGGAGCAGAAACAGTGAATTCAAGATTTATTGTCGAGTTTTAAGGCCAATTAATTGAACATTTTTCAGTGGCAGAAATTTTATGCTGGTTTTAAAAATTCTAGACAACAAAATTGGCAGATATATTTATTTTTTACTGTTTTCTACACGCACACGCACACACACACACACACACACACACACACACACACACAAACCTGCATCTCAGACAGTGGTGGTGCAGAGCTCGCCCACAGAGTGAATTTACGATCGCCGGTCTCCATGTCCCACATGGACACTTCGTTATTCCCCTGGACAGCTGCAGACAGGCGGACAGACAGACGGACAGACAGACGGACAGACAGGCGGACAAACGGACGGACAGACAGGCAGACAGCTGAGGTTAACATGGTGTTTCTTTACTTTAAACAATATAAATGAGTCTATAAATGAACTTCATTACATTGAACACGTATTTTAATACGTAATATTGCGACTCACCTGCGATGACAGATGATTGGTAGAGCGGATGCATCAGCAGGCGTCTGATTCGTGCTCGCGCTGGGTGGGAGTGGTTTGAGATGGGGAGCTGGAACCTCATATCCCAGCAGGCCATAGTGCCGCTGCTCGTACCTGCGGAGGACACAGGGAGCTGGGAGGTGAGCACAGACACACACAGACACAGACACACACAGACACACACACACTCTCACACACAGACACACACAGACACACACAGACACAGACACAGACACAGACACACACACACACTCTCACACACAGACACACAGACACACAGACACACACACGCAGACAGACACAAACACACACACACACACACACACAGACAGACACAGACAGACAGACAGACACACACACACACACTCTCTCACACTCTCACACACACAGACACACACAGACACACTCTCACACTCTCACACACACACACCTAGGCAGAGCCAGCACTGGTGCATGTCAACGGTGAACGAGGTGATGAGTCCGAGGCGGAGGTCGTGGCGGAGCGTCCAGGCGTTGGAGTTGGAGCGGAGGTCCCAGCCGACCAGCGAACCGTTGACGGTGGCGTACGCCAACACCGACTGTGCGCCCGAGTTAAAATGGTGGATGTCGACCGCGCAGCCGTCCTCCTGCAGGTCCAGAGACCTGAGAGAGCGAGGACGCACAGAATGAGACACTTCATCCGTTGGGACAAAGCTTCTACCTGTGGACTGTACCTGTTCTGTTACCTCGTCTGGAAGGGCTGAACTTTGGGAGATTTTGGGGGCTTGTTCGCTTCGACCGCCAGCAGCTGGATGGAGCCGTTGTCCGAGGCCACCGCCAGGTAATGCGACCCCTGACAGAAGGTCAACGTCTTCACGTGGCCGCCGATACGAGAGTAAGTCAGCACCGACCTGCATGGACACAACAGAGCTGTGAGCGTACAGCGAAGAGCCAACAGAGTCTCACGGTCCAACGTCCAACCTTAGTCTGTTGATGTGATTCACTGTATTATGTCATAATGTTTACTTACTATATTTCTTACTGATATTTTTATACAATTCTCTATTTATAACAATCTAATATGCTTAACAGGTTTCTTTGTTTTTTACAAATTCAGTGTTTCCTTCTCCCTGACTCGGTGTACTGTTGGACGAGGCTGTTAATCAGACAGTGAAGGTTCTGTAAATACAGCTAGTGTTCATTAATAATATAATATAAATAAAGTTTGACATAAAGCAGTGATGAAGGTGTTGTGTGTATTAAAGTCCACAGAGTTGTGACTTGTGGTCTTCAGTAACGTGGTGCTGACCGTCCGCTCTCTGGTCTTGTTCGCTCACCTGGTGGTCGTGGTCTTTCCCTCCATCTTCTGACTGTCCCAGACCTTGACGGTGCCGTCGTTGGACGCCGTAGCAAAGATGGAGTGTTCGTCAGACACTCGGATGCGGTTCACGGCGGCTTTGTGCTCGTGGAGGTGGGCGACTAGCAGCCCTTTAGGATGCCACCCTGAAACACACGAGTACAACTCTGTGAGCCTTCAGGAGACCAACCTGCTGGAATAAAACTGAAGAATCCAGATCACTTTAGGTTTAGTTTAAACAGGTTTTGGTCTGAGAGAACTTTCAAGGGTTATCAATGGAACCAATACAGAATCTAATAACTAATGTTTCCTGTAAACAGATCAGCCTGTATCCTGTCTAACAGTGAGTTACCCGGTGGAGGAGGTCGGCTCTCCCACTCTGCGCTCTCCATCATCTGTTTGGCCATGCGCTCGGCGCTGCACTGCTCCCTCTTCTGCTGCACCAGCTGCTGCAGCTCCACCTTACAGGTGTTGATGCGGCGCTGGTAGGCGGGGCCGCTCGCCACTGACTGCAGCACGGGCACCGCCGGGGCCACGGCGCTCTTCCTGATCTGACTCGCCGGACCGTCAGCAGCCTGCAAAACACATCAGTTCCTTATTTTACCCAATGGTCAACAATCAGGCGTCAAATCTTTTACTTTGACTAGAACTCATCAAAAACCATCATTTATAAATGCAACCTACATTTCACCTGCAGTCCTTCTAGGATTTTACAGGCTTTGTTTTGGATTTCACAGCAGCAGCTTTTCTCTTCAAAATAATAACTTCTCCAAATACAATCGGTCCATTGGGCCTGGCACCCTAATGAAGCTTCACAACATTTAAACAGCAGATCTTGGCACTCTAAGAGCCTCAGTGTGGAAACTTGGCCCAGACTCAGACTAACAGTTCAGGGGTGCAACGGGACTGAAGGTCGAAGACGTTGTTCAGCGCGGGAACAAAATAAGAACTACGTGAAAAATCTGTGCCCTCGGCCAAAAACATAAAGCCAACAGAACACAAACATGAGTCAAACGTTCACTAACAGCTTGTTTAATAAGGAGCTGAGACACAGAGCCAAAACCTGTTAAAGCCCATTAATGGTCAAATAAAAACCAGTGCTGGAATTTAACTAAGTACTTGAGTTTTCTACTTATATGTCACATATATATATATATATATATATATATATATATTATATATATATATTTTATATACTATTATATATATATATTTTACTTCACTACTTTTACCTGACAGCTATTTACAAATCAAATATGACGTTTGTTATAAATTAACAGTTTCTGATGAATTATTCCCATCAATCTCTATCGGAGATTCGATTGATCACACGAGACAAAGATTTGACTTCACGTCTTCTTAATGATGAGTTTCTATATAAATATATAAATTGATGTCAGTTGTGTCAAATATTCCCTGGTAGCAATTCAAATGAGACATTAACGTAGTCTTCAACATTACAGAGAAAGATGAACTGAAAGATGAAGGCAGGTAAAAAGATGTCATTTTACTGACTTTAATCTTTTTTTCAACTGACCTTTACTGCAGTCGGCCACCAGGGGGCGACTGCAGTAAAGGTCAGTTACAGAGGTTGGCTCTGTCATGTCGTCTATCTTTATATATGTTGATGATCGTGACGGGTACTTTTAACAATTCATTTTATTTAAAAAACAACAACTTTATGGTTTGATTTTAGTTGATTTATATTTATTTTTACTGTTTTCTCCCCTAATAGTCTCTGTCAGTCTCAGCTGGCTCCGACCAGGACTGACTACTGGTATAATCTAACGACTGCTAGCCGACCAGGACAATCTTCAGCCGTAGCAGCAACAGGTTTAAACTCGTTAAATGTACTTTAACTTATGTTAAATAAGACTTTTTAAGACCATTATGAATGCAATTTAAGATCTTATGTCCATACTGGCAAAAAAAAATCGTACGATGGATATGAAGGAAATGTCAATTTTGTTTTGTAGTTGCTGCAGAAAGATTACGTTTTTCCAGACTTTAACTTTAACTTCATGCATCTGATACATATTAAGACCTGTTGAAATCATTGTAAGATGTACAGATTATTGGATTGTAGACTGTATAAGACTCAGCAGACACCCTGTGTAGGTGAACAGACAGATGATAACTGTATCTAAGTAGACTGCAGGATCATTTACTAGAATAATCTCTCAGAGATCCGACATGTGGCTCTAAAAACACAACCTATTAACACATTTAAGGTAATAAAACTCTTCTGGAGTGCAGTGTTAGTGTGACTGTGCCTCCGGCTGTACGGTACCAGTCCCAGACAGACCTCATACTGTAAACATCAATAACTCTCCAGCACGCCTTCCCCTGGGCGCAGTACCAGAGTGATGCTCTTACCGTGGTGGTCTGGGCGGAGGGCGGCTCCTGAGATCCAAACATGCTCTTCCACTCCTCGTTCATCGTCGAGTCCTGCTTCGTGTGCTTCCTCGCTGTGGGAGACGACAACAACAACAACAGGTACATAAAAACAGGATGTCACAATTAACTAACAGGTCTACAAATGTTCTCTGCAGAGACGCCACCACGTTCTCCACAGATGCTCTTCCATAAACTGATTATAATTTGGGAGAAATGTTCATCTGGAATCAAATTCTGGATCTTGTAGTACAGTGGTTCCCAACCTGGGGGGAAGCCTGTTAAGACTGTACGATTGTTAAACAATTAATAAAAACATAATACAGACAGAAAATTGAATAAAAAGTTCCTAAAATTATCAGTAAAACTCATCTCTGATCGATTCACAGGAAATAATCTGTTCTCAGTTATTATGTTTATCAGCACATATTAAATATAATATGAAATATCCATAAAATATTTAATGTAGTCAGTGAAAGAAAAGGGGCCCCTTCAGGAAAAAGGTTGGGAACCACTGATTTAGACTGTAGTGTCATAAAAAGAGAAAATAAATCACATTGTTTGAGATGTTTCCAATTAAAACTTTATGTATTTATGTGAGTGAAATAATGAACGTGGACTGACGTCTGCTAATGTTTCTCACCTTAATATCAAATTATAACAGTAACAAACTTTCAGGACTGAACAGACTCCTCAGATGAACATGTTTCATGTTTTAGGAACACAAAGACAAAGTGATTAATGTGGGAGATACGAGAGGGGAGTCTCTCTTTCTTTAATTCACTCTGCCGACTTACAGAAAACCATCTGGAGCACAGAGTCTGTGGAGATTTACCCACTGACATTAACTATCTGTCCTGCTTTAACAATAACAATAACAATGTTCACTGCAGGAGAAAACCTGGGCTCAACAGAGTAAAGGCATCTATAATAAAGTCTATAATATTAATAACTGATTAATTGTTTGAGCTGTGAGCTCTGTAATGACACAAACTCTTTAACATTGATTGACAATGGAACAACAGGTTTCTCTCACAAGGAGCCGTTACCTTGTGAGAGAAACCTGTTGTTCCATTGTGAGAATGTAAATTCACTCTGGTGTCAAATATTGAGCACACTTGGGAACCCGAACCCCTCACGGCTCTATTTGGACTTCCACCACCCTTTTACAGCTCTATAAAATCACATGTTTCCTCTTATTCAACGGAAGTACGCTCCATCACTACAAATAATGGCTCAGGAATCCGACCAAACCAGAAAGACAAGCCAATCCTGACAAACCGGAAGCCCTTAGAGTGGACAGGCGTTATCCACCCAGACGACGACTAGATAAAAAGATCTAAAAAGAAAGTAAATCCTCTCAGACAGACTTTCCTTCTGAAGCTTCAGTTAAGATTAAATTCTTCAATCTGGGATTCAAAACAACCTCCCTGCCTGAGGGCTGTTCAACTTCTTCCATGCTCTCTCAGCGTGTGGAGGTGCAGGTGGAAGCTGATTGGACAGGAGGCTGAAGTGACTCAGTGTTGGTCAGCTGTACAGTAACAGGAGGGAGGGAGGTATAGTCCCGTCTTTCTCTGGTTTCTCTAGTTCTTTTTTTTTTGTATTTCTGCTTGAAAAACTTTTCGCCGACTGATGAACTTGAATCATTATTTCAGCTCCACATTCAGTCCTCTTACTCCAAATATCTGAAGCAACAACAGGTCAGATTTCTGTAAACCAACAGGACAGAATTTCCACTTGTACACAACGTTTGTCCTTCCCTGCAGCGCCACCCTCAGGACAAACATTTTCAGCTCAAGACACATAAAGAAATGGACTGCGGGTAGTCAGATGTGGGTTATCTCGCGGGACTATTTTAGTGTCACACAGCTCAATTATTGAAATTAGAAACAGTTCAGAGAATGACACACACCATGAGGATGCAGCTGTTAACACTTAAACAAAGATATGCTGTAACAGTCAAACAAAATCAGACTGTAGGTGATTAAGGGGACATGTTAGACTTTAAAGGTCCCATGAAACAGCTCGGAGATCTGAATTGTATCCTGTGATTTGATGCTTAATGGATTTAAATTTCCAGTAAAAGCACAAAAGCATAAAAAAAAAAAAAAAAAACAATTAAAGGGGCTAAACTTTGGCCCACGATGAGACGGCGGATCAGGATGTGGGAACATGAGGAAACAACATGGAGGACGATGTTTGTAATTCCATGGGACCTTGAGCAGTTACTTTCACAGCAAGAGTGCTGATCACATCAAACTAAATCATATGAAATGATGTACCAGATGCTGCAGCGACGGACTCTGAAATCAATAAAAACATCAACAACATCAAACAGACGAAGCAGATCGACTCCACAAGGCGAAAACACGGCGGCTTCGATATATTTAGCTTCAGGACCCGACAGTAAGGATGTCGGATTAAATGAGGATTAGGGGCAAATCAATTGATCGGGACAAATTTAAACCAATATATACCAATAAGTACCTGGTAGGGGTTCCTGCGTACATTTCTCTACCATTCCGTTTTTTATTTTCATGCTATTTTGGCTGTGTTCAATGAATGAAGCTCTAACCTGCCAAACGTTATTCATTTTGCATTTTGTTTAGAATTCTGGTGTTAGTTCCTGAAATTAGCCTAAAATGGCTAGGCTACGCACAAACTCACACATTTGTTCCTACGGCAGAAAAACTGCCACATTGAAAACCATTGAAAACACCATTTTCGATCCCATGTTTATCTTAACATAAACTAATGTTTTCCTTTATGTTAACATTTCATTTTGGTGGTGAAACTTTAACAGGCTGAACGCAGTGTTTTACTGCCGCCTGTAGTTCAAAGTCTGTTACAACCGCTGACAGCAGCAGCATCACAGAACCTCTGCAGGCTTACAGGATATTTCCAGGAGTTTCTTGGCAACACAGAACAGAAATGACTCAACCGTTATATAATCTACAGATACATTAAAGCCCAGTTTTATTCATTACATACACGTCTTTGGCCACAGCCCATACATAACACTTCAAATTAAGTAGAATTTCATTTTCCAGTAAATTCATCGTCCCACCTTAGTTAGTGAAAGAAGACTTTGTCCAACTTCACAAGTCTTTTCTCTCAGAATGCCAAACTCTGCGTTATAAACTAATTCAATAATAAAAACTATGAGGGGCGAGAACCAAAACAAAATGTGCCTTTGTTTTGGTTCTCGATAATAAAAGTAAGATATGATAAATATTTGATATGCGTATTTCAAGCTGAAGTAGTTCTAAAAGATTGACTCATTTAAAGTGGAAAAAAAATATTGATTTATAAGATTTTTACAGCAGTTTTTGCGAAGGTGGCAGTTTTCTGCCAAAGGAACAGATGTGTAAGTTTTTTTAAAGGAACCCCTAAGGGTTAAATAATAATAATACTAATAATAATAATTGTGAGCCTACAATCTAGGAAGCAAATTACAGCCGTCTATTGTTGGGCTGCCCCAGAAAATACGATTATTGATTAGATTGTTATTAAATTAAATTAGCTCTCTGATTTCTGTTTCACGTGGACTTTAAATGGAAGGAAAAAAGACCTGAAACACTGACCATGGAGGAAGTTCACTGTTCTACAGGTCAGTTTGATTCCTATTGACTATATTTATATTTATATGAATTCATTATGTTTAATCATTAACAGTAGAGTGATACTGTATAAATACCAATGAAAAAAGATCTTGAACAAAAGATAAATATTGTTTCTTTCACCAAAATAAGATGATGTTCGGTGCTTTTTCATTTTCTCCGTGTTCAGAAAAATAAACACATTTTTCTTCATTTGTCTATTTCTAACATCCTGCCGACAGATGTGCCGTTTTCATTCTGCACTAAATGAGTCTCAAATTAAAACAAAACTGAAAAATTCTTACTTTGATGAATCTGTTTAAGCTCAACCTTTCGGCTCATTAATCTTTTACTGTAACTTTCAACCTTTAATACTCAAAATACTAAAATATTCTATACGCTTAAACTGAATTAATAAACTTAAACGGTTTCAGTAAGCTGAACTAACTTTACAGCGTTTAATGGCTGAATAATTGTTGTGTGTTGTTTCTAGGATCATTTTAATGTGCTTGTAACAAAGTCTGAATATCATGAAAGAGCTCTAAAACATAAAACCTATTATTATTATTTTGATTAAAAGTTGACTTAAATGTAATGAATCTTCCCAAATAAAACATTTTGAGTTAAATGTTAAAATAATATTATATATACACACACACACACACATATATATATATATATATATATATGTGACAAATCTAAACTTATCTAAAATAGCTGCCAACACTTGTTTTAACTCCGTCCTCTACGATATATGAATATGTTATTGATATTTAATATTAAATTCAATAATATCAGTAACAGTAGAGAACAGCTAATAAACTCCCTTAAAATCAAGAAGGCCGCACGACCCCTGTGAAAGCTTTGGCGACCCTTAGAGGGGGGTCCCGACCCTCAGATTGGGAACCACTCCTCTACGACTCCACTTTGGATCAACTCAGAAACAACATGAACGTAAAGACGTTTGTTTGTGTGCGTAAATACAGCATCGGGATGTCCATTACCTCTCTTGTCCTCGGCCTCAGCCTTCGGTTTAACCAGGTCGACCTGCCGGCCAGTGATGCCGAGCGTGGCCAGGTCGATGACGCCGGTCTGGGCCGCCTCTCCCAGGTGACTCTGCTCGCCCATGTTGGCTTTGGCCTTGTTGGATTTCAGCATGAAGTCTTTGAGCGCCAGCAGCTTGTCCTCCTCGGCCTCGGTCATCCCCTGAGGACAGAGAGCACAGAGGTGATCATACAGGACTCGAACCGGTTCAAAGAGCACGGTTCTGCTCTGCCAGGACCGGTTACAGCTGGTATTAACAAGTGTCCAGATAGCTCTAAATACAGTGTAAACGACCACAGAGACGCACTGTCTATTTACTTTGTTTATCAGTGTATAAGCATTGGTAAACTGTCCAAAATCACTGAAAACAACAAAAATTACTTTAATGTACATAATGACTTTTATTATAGTTCTATAACTTTTAAAATCCAATAATAACAGCACTCTGCTGTAAATGTAAGCCTGATTATTTGTATTATAGCAGAGTTCACCTGTATTTATAGCTCATTGTTTTACACTGTAAATATCTTTCATAAACTTTTTTTATTACTGTTATTTTACACTTTTTTACAGTGTATGTCAAAAAAAGGAATTTGGTCATTTTTATTAATTTCCAGGTGTTTCCTTCACTGGAAAGCTTTGTCTCTAAACATCCAGGTTTTCCAGGACTCATGGGAAGCCTGAATATTGAGGACAGAAATAACACACAGGGACAACATCTGGAGCAGGTACAGCCCGATAATGGGATTATTTGCATACAGAACAGGGAAGTGAGATCTGATCACCAATCTGATGTGAGGTGCCAACAGACTCTCTCTCTGTTACCGGTTTAAACTCATATCTGTGGGTCTGCACTAACTGTGTGAATAAAGCTGAGTCACGGAATCGCAGTCTGGGAAAGCTGTTTGTGTGTTTGTACAATGTTCCACAGAACTCTGGTTTTTCCTCAGAACATTAAGACAAAAAAAAAAACCCAGCTCTGTTTTCCAGATGGAGCTTTTACAGAAACTACATCTTGTAAGAGCTCGAACCCCTGATGTCAGTGTGGAATCTGGACTCAGTCTGTTGGTTTTTTTCCAGTGTGTGTTTATAAAATATGGCATCTGCAATGTATCACACTGTAAAAAGTAACTGTGGTTACTCAGAGTTTGGTGGAAGAGCCTCCAGGGTTGATGAATCTCATTACAGACGTTCTACAGATACTCCCATCTTGAAGCTTTGTCGGATCAAAGTGAGGAAGAATGTTTGTGGGAGTCTGAGTCAGGGGCTTCGTGTTTTTACCAAGTATTTTAACACTGTGGCCTGGATGAGAAGAATAGTTTCAATGCCTGGTTCCTCCTCCGCTACCTCCCTCTATAAGTGTCCTCTCCTCCCCCAGAGAAACATGCTGAGCTTCACGCTCTCATTATCTCACTGTTTGTACATCGGACTGCGTCTACAGTCAGAGTCTGTCTCTCTGTCTCGGTCTGTCTCTCTCTACGCTTTCTCCTCAGACATCCATGGTGTCTCACTCAGCTTGATAAACTGTTCAGAGTCTCTCACTGTGCCTTCGGGGAAGGTTTCAGATGGAGTCAGATGATCTGTCCAACATGGCGTCCTGCCGTCCAGAGATTTCTGTTTCCCTTCTTTCATTAATAATCTGCTGCTTTCAGGATCTAAACTTATATTTCAGTGGTTGCAGATTTGAACCTTTATCAGTGAACGGTTTACATGTTGTTCACTGTTTCTCTGTGTGTGACCACATTAACATTAACAAGTTACCAATCTGACCCAATATCGGCGTCCGGTGCTGATACATAACTCTTCTATCAGATATCGGACTGACGTCACCGATCCGACTTCAGTTACTTATGAACTATAAAAACATGCAATACTGCAATTTTAAGTCAAAATGTTACAGCACAAGTTAATTAATTAAATAATAAGTTAAAGATATCCAATAATCCCCATATTGTTCCGTCTCCCAGAGTTCTGTGAGTTACACGTCAGGGACGATGCACCGGACCGTGAAACCTGCAGCAACATAACATCAATAAAACTTAATCTTAAAAGAACATGTTTAATTTAGGTTTTGGAGACAAGCAGAAGCCGTGGACGCTGGACGGATTAATTCAGAGGAACAACTGACCAGAAACCAGTTCTTAAAACTTTAAAACTGGAAGAATGTGGAAATAAAGAACAAACGGACAGAATCAAACTCTTTTTCTTTACAGCACAAACAGGATTAATCCAAACAGCATGAGGCGGCCTGCAGGCACACACACACAGACAGACAGACAGACAGACAGACACAGACACACAGACACACACACACACACAGACACACACACACACACACACACACACACACACACACACACACACACAGGCCATATGGAGCCATTTCAGGTAACTCACCACAGCCAAGTTCAGAGCTCAGTGTGGGAAACCTCTGGTAGGAATTCACTGGAAGTGTGTGTCCATTGGTCGGTCTGTGTGTGTGTGTGTGTGTGTGTGTGTGTGTGTGTGTGTCTGTGTGTCTGTCGGTGTGGTGAAACTTTAACAGGCTGAACGCAGTGTTTTACTGCCGCCTGTAGTTCAAAGTCTGTTACAACCGCTGACAGCAGCAGCATCACAGAACCTCTGCAGGCTTACAGGATATTTCCAGGAGTTTCTTGGCAACACAGAACAGAAATGACTCAACCGTTATATAATCTACAGATACATTAAAGCCCAGTTTTATTCATTACATACACACAGCCCATACACTTCAAATTAAGTAGAATTTCATTTTCCAGTAAATTCATCGTGCTACCTTAGTTAGTGAAAGAAGACTTTGTCGTCTCTCTGTGAATGTATTTTTTTAACCACAAGAATCTTTCCAACAGGATTTCATGAGAATTAGCGTCGGAGCTCGAGAAAAGACAGACTTAATGGCAAAAACATCCCTAAAGTCCAGTGAATCCACTTTCCTACCAACAGTCGAGTTTCAAACTAAATACATAGGCGATCTAAGAGAGGAGCTAAAATACAATAACAGAACAACACAGATTATTTACAGGATATTTGCTCATTTTAACTGGAAAACTGGTCTTAAAGGGTTCGACTGAGGGATTCACTGTGAACTCTCTTTACAACATATATCGCCTTTTATTTATTCTAGCTGCTTAATGTCTCATATTTCATTAGTATTATTGTTCTTAGATCAGCTAAAGGTATTTTATTCTTTAATTTGTAATTAATGAATGTGCCCCAGTTCATTTTATGTTTCATTAGTATTATTGTTTATTGTATTATTGTTTTTACTTTGGGGCTTTTATTCTTTGGTATTCTACCTCACTGCTGTATCATTAACCTGGTGCTGGCCATGTAAGGCACTTTGTACCTTTATTTTGAAAAGTGCTGTAAAAATAACCTTTATTATTATTATTATTATTTATTTATTTAATTGCTAACTATTTTGATAATTTATAATTAGTCGTTTAAGAAAAAAACATCCATATTCTCCAGTTTTTTTGGTCCTCTGTAACAGTAAACTTAATATTTTTGGGTTGAGGACATTTTATAACATTTTATAAGATTTGATGGATTAATGGAGAAACCATCAATCAACTGTCTATATTCACCAAATATATTAAACCGTTATGTATTTTATTTGGATTTTCATCTGAAGTGACCTTTAACCTTTATAAAGCTTGTGTTTATTCATGGGAAGGATCGTGTAAAGGGCGGTCCAATGTGGTTCTGTTAGACATTCATGTTGGCTTTCGTCCAAATAAAACTTAACTTGGGAGTTTAATTCACAGGAAATCTGATTATTTTGGTTGTTTTTGTGTTGAGGGGTGAAGAGATCCATCATCATCTGCAGAGTTCAACCAGTAACTGTACAAACACAGAGCTGCTGATTAATATAAAAACAGATTTACTGTAATGCACTGAACAGTTTATTAAGCAGCTGAGGGGAGTTCATGGACAGACTGCCAGCAGCACCGCGGGCCCATCCATCACTTCACTGATTACAGAAACACAATCTTCAAACGTTTTAAAAGATGGAAAAAGTCCAACTTTTTGAACTGTTCTGGTTTTTACCCCGACTAGAATTACTGGTGGTAAGCCAACCAATGAAGAGACAGTTTAGTGTTCTGTCCAACAGTGCACACAAAAACTCACTTTCTGTCTCAGCGACCAAACATATTGTGTAAAATAATAAGTTGCTCTTTAGTGTCACATGTTATATTATATTATATAATATAAAAGGTACAAAGCCTCAGTCAGTGGATGAGACGGAGAGGTGAACGTACTGTTATTTATTGTTTACTCGTTGTGTCGTCACTGTCAGCGTGTGCGTTTCTTAAAATATGTCTAAACTTATTTTGGAGGTGACAATGATCTTTGAGCTTTTGGGTAAAACATGTCACCACATAGGGACGAGAACCGAGAACCGGTTCTAAATTGTCCAAACTTAATAATAATATATTAATCTTAATAATTATGTTGGGGATATATGGGGAAAAATAGGTTCACCGTACAGCTTCACCGTACAGCTTCACCAGGGTTTCATTTTAAATTAAAACCTAACTGGGGAGCCCTGGTGGTTCCAGCCGGAGACCCGGCTCGACCAGAGTGAAATCTGAGCGAGGAGGGAACTTGAGCAGAACGTCCCAGAGAGGCCTTGAACGGAGGAGCGGAGCGAGCAAACAGCTCCGTGAGCGACGGTGGACGCCTGTGCCAAATTATAAGAAATTCCCTCGAGGCGTTCCTGAGAAGAAGAATGTGACGGACAACCAGGCCTCAGCTATCGGCGGCGCGGAGGCATAAAAATGAGCCAAAACCATTTAATGGAAAGTGAATCTGTTCCTACAAAGTCACAGAATTCACATTACAACCTGGAGGAAACCTTCGATAAGTGAATCACTGAGCGTCGTTGTTCTGACCTGTGACAGCAGCTTCTTGAGAAGCTGTGCGATGGCGGGGTCCTCCGGAGTAGGGGCATTCTGGGATGGATCCCGCACGCTTCTTCTGTCGGAGCAGCAGGTGTCGGAAGAGGCTGGCGATGTCTTTGGAGCGCAGGGCGTAGTCAAAGATGGAGCGACTGACCGGCTCCTTCAGCACGCTCAGCAGGACCAGCTCCTTATCGATCTGAGGGGGGGGAGACAGAGGGGTGAGGAGGACGGAGGACAGGTGAGGAGGACGGAGGACAGAGGGGTGAGGAGGACGGAGGACAGAGAGGAGGCAAGAGGAGAGGGGACAGAGGGGAGGGGACGGGACAGAGGGGAGGAGGAGTACAGGAGGAGGAAGGAGGACAGGGAGGAAAGCAGGGGGAGGAGAGGACGGAGGGGGAGGAGGCAGAGGACAGGAGGAGGCGGAAAGGGGGGGAGGACGAACAGGTGAGGAGGACGGAGGACAGAGGGGTGAGGAGGACGAAGGACAGGTGAGGATGACGGAGGACAGGTGAGGAGGACGGAGGCAGAGGGGTGAGGAGGAGGAAGACGATGGTGATGAGAACTCACCTGGATGATGGGCTGGGTGATGAAGGGGTTGAGGTGGGGCATCAGTTTGCAGTAGACGTCGGCCACGTTGAGGTGCTGTGCGATGACGGTGATGAAGCCCACCGCCCCGTAACGGATCCACAGGTTGGGATGACACAGGAACGGAGCTACGGCAACACGGAGAGGACAAATTAAAGGAACATGAAGCTGAAATCAGAGATCTTAAATTGATTATCAAACCAGTTGGTGATGAACTGAACAGCTGTTGGATTAATGGACTGCAGCTGTAGATGTGTGTGTGTGTGTGTGTGTGTGTGTGTGTGTGTGTGTGTGTGTGTGTATCTCACCGATGTCACTGACGAACTCGTAGATGTGAGGTTTCTGCAGCAGTCCCAGCTGACACATGCAGGTCAGAGCGTTCAGAGCTTTGTAGATGACGAACTCCTCGGTGTCGCTCAGTCCCTGCTGCAGCAGCGGCTTCAGGATGGACGAACTCTGCCAGCCGACGTACGCCGCCACGCCTTCAGGACGCCGCCACGGACAAGAAGAGAGCGAGGACATTGAACAGAGACACAATAAACAACTTATTTAATAAATAAATAAGAATGTTTTGCATTAGAAACTAACTTTATGGCCATTTCCAGCAGAACAAACCGACCGATCACCTCTAGAGAACTTTAATTCTCGTGCTCTCTTACCCACGATGCTGTCGAAGAAGGCTCCTCGCAGGTGCCAGTCGTTCTTGTCGTTGAGGAAGGTGATCATGTGCGACAGCAGCACGTCGTTGGCTTTCTGCCGGCCAAAGAAGACGCAGAGGCGCGTGATGCCGTTCTCCATCAGCGACTGTTTGACAATGTTCTCCGAGTCGCTCAGCAGCGTCACCACCTTCTGCTGCACCATCTCGTGCAGCGCCTGCAGCTCTGAGTCGTAGTTCTCGTTGGGGTGGAGCGCCTCCTCCGTGTCCTCGCCGCTCAGGTCCTGTTCTGTGTTCACGTTGTTTTCCTGAACCAACTCCAGGAACCGCAGCGCGCTCTCTGCCAAGTGAGCGATGTTCTCTAGATAAAGACAATAAAGGTCAGAACAGTGTCTGGATTTAACAATAAGAGTGTGAAGCTGTTAATCTTCCTGTTACCCCGCTGATGGATTTCTCACCGTTATTGAAAACATAAAGGAAAATAAGTATGATTTATTCTACACGAAGTCGAATATTCAAACCCAGAAGGTTTTTATGGCTCCAACAGACACAAATATTCTAGATGTCTTTGCTGTTATTTTATGAATATTTCCTGATGCCGTTGGTCTATCTGGAAATGTTTCAGAAGGCTGTAACGTTTCATTCTGACCTGCGTACGCCAGCCTGACGATGGTGGCGTCGTCCTGGGCGAGGTGGGCGATGCCCGGCAGGATGTACTCCGGGTAGATGTTGACGTCGTTCCTCGGCACCTCCTTTACCAGCGCCAGCACTTTGGCCAGAGTGCGCACGGCCTGAGCGCGCACGCGGGGCACGGGGTCATTGCAGAAGTGCAGCAGGTACGGCGTGATGCGGTCGAGCAGGATGTCGACAGCGAGCCGCGGCGCCAGGTGGAGGACGAGCTCCAGCGCCGCCAGCTTGGAGTCGCAGGAGTGCAGCGTCTGCAGGCAGGAGGTGATGACCGACACCAGGACAATGAGGCCCTGCTCCTCCCGGGAGCTCAGCACGCCGTCGCCGCCCTCCGGAGACGAGGAGGAAGAGGAGGAGCCTGGAAGGGATGCAGGTTCTTTTAAAGGGCTGAAGAAAAGGTTTACAGTGTGACCGTCAGAGCGGCTGATACACTCGCTCTCACCTCCCCGCAGGTTGTGCAGGATGTTGTCGAGGTCCTTGCGGATGACGAGCACTCGTTCGTCTGCCGACTGGAAGGTCTCTTTGGCGAACTGAGCCATGTACGGCTGCAGGAAGGTGTAGAAGATGTCGGGGAAGGCTTTCCCTCTCTGCTGCTTCAGATACTCCTCTGCTGTCAGACGCTTCTCCGGCTCCCTCTGAACCATCTGAGCAACCTGAGAGAGACTTTGATTATCTTTCAGAGCTCACAGACATTAAACCTCTGGCGGAAGGAAACACAGTTTTGTTAGAAGAGAGCTCGGCCTCATTACCAGCTCCCGGATGCTCCGGTCCTCGATCTTCAAGAGGACCTGCTCCGTCTGGAAGTGTCCTTTACGATAGGCCAGCAGCTGGGACAGATCGAAGAGAGGGACGCCCTCCGTGAACAGCTCCGCTATCACACAGCCTGAACACACACAGCAGAGTACACACAGTTGGTTCTAATGTTAAATACAGCAGGGTTTCCCGCAGCACTTTGCAGCTAAGGTGGCCGCCTTGGCAACACACGCCTGCCGCCTTGACTACGTCGCCCCCCCAAAAAAAGTAGGCAGAGTGATATGAGCAATACGAGCGATATCCGACTGTCTTTTATACTTTGATGGTCTGAACACAGAAATAGAGTAAAGCTATAGTAGTTTGAGTTTCGTTGTGAGATGAAAGCATGAGTCAGTGTTTCTGTCTATATTTGATCTTTCTTTCTTCTTATTTTAAAAAATATAAAACAGGTAGTCCCCGACAGACACAAAGTACTGACTGCATCTTCCCCCCAAAAGAGCCTCAGCTACAATCAGACTCTTATTTTACATTAAAATATTTATATGTAGGCAAAATTAAAGTGAGCATGCAATGAAAACTTTAAAGAACAAAGCTGGAAAACGAGCCGCCGAAAGTCCGTTAAGTTAACCGGAACACAACAGGAAGTTAGACGGTCTGGCATTCAAATTAAAAGCATATAAAGTGCGACTGTTGTCAGAGAAACAAGCAGCCGTGAGAGGAACCGATCCGACTCTGGTTCTCAGTCTCTGTTCTGCTGCAGTGAAAGAGGTTCTGTGGTATGAATACCTGCAGAGAAGATGTCCATGGCCTGTTTGAGCTCCCCTCTGCTCCTCTGGTTGTTGTTGGTCAGGTCCACCAGCGGCGTGTTCTGGTCGCTCTCCGTGGTGAACATGCTTCCGTCCACGAACCTCTCCGGCGCGATGTAGCACGTCCGCCGCCTGGACGTGTCGAAGAAGTAGTTGAAGTCTGCGGGGTTGTCCTCGGGCAGGTAGGTGGGCTTGAAGCTGGCGAAGTCGGTGAGCAGCACCCAGTTCCAGCTGGTCACCATCACGTTCTCCGTCTTGATGTCGCCGTGGCGGACGCCGGCTCTGTGCGCCTGGTCGACGGCGTTGAGGATCTGGAAGGCGAGCCACCGCTTCTCCACATTGTTGAGGAAGGGCCGGGTGCTGATGCGGTCGTACAGGTTGTCCCGCACGTACTGACGGAACAAGATGGCGGCTTTCTCCGTCAGGGAGGTCTTCTGGAAGGGGAGGCAGTTCTGGCAGGAGTGCAGTCGGATCTTCAGCTCCTCCAGCTCCTGTTTGTAGCTGGTCAGAGGCAGCGACGGGTCCTGGATGGCGAACACTTTGACCACCACCAGGCCCTCGCGGTGCTTGGCCCGGGCCACCTTGAAGAAGCGGGTGCTGCCCAGGCTCTTGTCGTACTCGTGGTCGTGGATGTCTGAGAAGTAGCTGTCCACAGAGAGGATCTGTGACGGGGCGATGCCCGCCAGCTGGTTCCCCATCGCGCCTCCTCACACGTCTGCGGAGAGAGTGACATCAGAGCGGCGTTTAAAGCAACATACAGACGGTTTTCACCTTTCAACAACTCATTACGTTCAATAAGAACAGCTGATGAATGAACAATGAACACAATAATTTAATTACAGACATGTTAAAAGATATTTCTAGAAGCTTTTTATGCACTTTTAAAGAAATATGTTGTTTGTTTGTATTCTGTTGTAAACAATAATATCATTAAATGAATTAAATAAGAGGAGGACGGTCACATGATGCTGGTGTGAATCGTTTGTGGAGCAACAGGCTCCATCTTTACTCCCAGACCATCAGCACCGGATCCCCTCAGGGCTCCTCTCCCCCCCCTCCTCCTCCTCTCCTCTCCTCTCCCCTCCCTCTCCCCTCCCCTCCCTCTCCCCCTCTCCTCCTCCCTCCCTCCCCTCCTCTCCTCTCCCCTCCTCCTCCCCTCCCTCCTCCTCCTCTCCCCTCCCCTCTCCCCTCCTCTCCCCTCCTCTGCCCTCCTCCTGCCTCCTCTGCCCTCCCCTCCCTCTCCTCTCCTCTCCCCTCCTCTCTCTCCCCCTCCTCTCCTCTCCTCTCCCCTCCCCTCCTCTCCCCTCCCTCCTCCTCCCCTCCTCTCCTCTCCTCTCCCCCCTCCCCTCCCCCTCCCTCTGCCCCTCCTCCCTCCCCTCTCCTCTGCCCTCCTCCCCTCCCCCCCCCCTCTCCCCTCCTCCTCCTCTCCCCTCCTCTCCTCTGCCCTCCCCCTCTCCTCTGCCCTCCTCTGCCCTCCTCTGCCTCTCCTCTCCTCTCCCCTCCTCTCCTCTCCCCTCCCCTCCCCTCCCCTCCCTCCCCTCCCTCTCCCCTCCTCTCCTCTCCTCTGCCCTCCTCTCCCTCTCCTCTCCCCTCCTCTCCTCTCCTCTCCCCTCCTCTCCCTCTCCCCCTCCTCTCCCCTCCTCTCCTCTCCCCTCCCTCCCTCCCCCCTCTCCCCTCCTCCTCCCCTCTCCTCTCCCCCTCCTCCCCTCCTCTCCTCCCTCCTCTCCTCCTCTCCCCCCCTCCTCTCCTCCCCTCCCCTCCCTCCCCCTCTCCCCTCCTCTCCCTCCCCCTCTCCCCCTCCTCTCCCCTCCTCTCCCCCTCCTCCCCTCCCCCTCTCCTCTCCCCTCCCCTCCTCTCCCCCCCCCCTCTCCCCCTCCTCTCCCCTCCTCTCCTCCTCCTCTCCCTCTCCTCCTCCCCTCCTCCCTCCTCTCCCCTCCTCTCCTCTCCTCTCCTCCTCTCCCCTCCTCCCTCTCCCCTCCTCTCCCCCTCTCCCCTCCCTCCTCCTCTCCCCTCTCCCTCTCCTCTCCCCTCCCCTCCTCCCTCTCCCCTCTCCTCTCCTCTCCCCTCCTCTCCCCCTCCTCCTCCTCTCCCCTCCCTCCCCCTCCCCCCTCCCCTCCCCTCCCCTCCTCCCCCCCTCCTCTCCCCTCCTCCCCTCCTCTCCCCCTCCCCTCCTCCCCCTCCCCTCCCTCTCCTCTCCTCTCCCCTCCCCTCCTCCTCCCTCTCCTCTCCCCTCCCCTCCCCTCCTCTCCTCTCCCCCTCCTCTCCCTCCCCTCCCCTCCTCCCCCCCTCCCCTCTCCCTCTCCCCCTCCTCCCTCCTCCTCTCTCCTCTCCCCTCCTCCTCCCCTCTCCCCTCCTCTCCCTCCTCTCCTCTCCTCCCCCTCCCCCTCTCCCTCTCCTCCTCTCCTCTCCCCTCCTCTCCTCTCTCCTCTCCCCTCCTCTCCTCTGCCCTCCTCTCCCTCTCCTCCCTCCTCTCCTCTCCCTCCCCCTCCTCTCCTCCTCTCCTCTGCCCTCCTCCCCTCTCCCTCCCTCCTCCCCCTCCTCTCCCCTCCTCCCCTCCTCTCCCTCTCCCCTCCCCTCCCCTCCCCTCTCCTCTCCCCTCCTCCTCCCCTCCTCTCCCCCTCCCCTCTCCTCCTCCTCTCCCCTCCCCTCCTCTCCCCTCCCCCTCCCCTCCCTCCCCCTCCCCTCCCCTCCCTCTCCTCTCCTCTCCCCTCCCCCTCCTCTCCCCTCCTCTCCCCTCCTCCCTCTCCCTCCTCCTCTCCCCTCCTCTCCCTCCTCTCCTCTCCCTCCTCCCTCTCCTCTCCCCTCCCCTCCTCTCCCCTCCCTCCTCTCCTCTCCCTCCTCTCCTCTCCTCTCCTCCCCTCCTCTCCTCTCCTCTCCCCTCCTCTCCCTCTCCTCTCCTCTGCCCTCCTCTGCCCTCCTCTCTCCTCTCCTCTGCCCTCCTCTCCTCTCCTCCTCTGCCCTCCTCTCCTCTCCTCTCCCTCTCCCCTCCCCTCTCCCCTCCCCTCCTCTCCTCTCCTCTCCTCTCTCTCCTCTCCCCTCCCCTCTCTCTCCCTCTCCTCTCCTCTGCCCTCCTCTCCTCTCCCCTCCTCTCCCCTCCTCTCCTCTCCTCTCCCTCCCCTCCTCCCTCTCCCCTCCTCTCCTCCCTCTCCTCCTCCTCTGCCCTCCTCTCCTCTCCCCTCCTCTCCCCTCCTCACCTCTCCTCTCTCCTCTGCCCTCCTCTCCTCCCCCTCCTCTCCCTCCCCTCCTCTGCCCTCCTCTCCTCTCCCCTCCTCTCTCCTCCTCCCTCTCCTCTCCCCCTCCTCCTCTCCTCTCCTCTCCTCTCCCCTCCTCTCCCCTCCTCTCCTCCTCCTCTCCCCTCCTCTCCCCTCCTCTCCTCCCCCCCTCCCCTCTCCCCTCCTCCCCTCCCTCTCCCCTCCCCTCCCTCCCTCTCCCCTCCCTCTCTCCTCCTCTCCCCTCCTCCCCTCCTCCCCCCCTCCCCTCCTCCCTCCTCCTCCCTCTGCCCTCCTCTCCTCTCCCCTCCCCTCCTCTCCTCCCCTCCTTCTCTCTCCTCCTCCCTCCTCCCCTCCCCCTCTCCCCTCCCTCCCCTCCTCCCCCCCTCCTCTCCCCTCCCTCCCCTCCTCTCCCCCTCTCCCTCCCTCTCCCCTCCCTCCTCCCCCTCCTCCTCCCCTCCCCCCTCCCTCCCCTCCCCCCCCTCCTCCCCTCCCCCTCCTCTCCCTCCCTCCTCTCCCCTCCTCCCCTCCTCCCCCTCCCCCCTCCTCCTCTCCCCTCCTCTCCTCCTCCTCCCTGCCCTCCTCCTCCTCCTCCCCCTCTCTCCTCTCCCCCTCCCTCCCTCTCCCCTCCCCCTCCCTCCCCTCCTCCCTCCCCCTCCTCTCTCTCCTCTCCCCTCCTCTGCCCTCCTCTCCTCTGCCCTCCTCTGCTCTCCTCCTCCCCTCCTCTCCCCCCCTCCCCTCCTCTCCTCTCCTCTCCCTCCCTCCCCCTCCTCCTCTCCCCTCCTCTCCTCCTCCCCTCCCTCCCCTCTCCTCTGCCCTCCTCTCCTCTCCCCCCCCCTCTCCCCCTCCCTCCCCTCCTCTCCCTCCTCCCTCCCCCCTCCCCTCCTCTCCCCTCCTCCCCTCCTCCCCTCCCCCCCCTCCCCTCCTCTCCTCCCCCTCCCCCTCTCCTCTCCCCTCCCCTCCTCTCCCCCCCTCCTCTGCCCTCCTCTCCTCCTCCTCTCCCCTCCTCCCCTCCCCTCCTCCCTCTCCCTCCCCTCTCCTCTCCCCTCCCCTCCTCCCTCCCCTCTCCTCTCCCCCTCCCCTCCTCTCCCTCTCCTCTCCTCTCCCCTCCTCCTCCTCTCCCCTCCTCTCCCTCTGCCCTCCTCTCCCCTCCCTCCTCTCCCCTCCCCTCCTCTGCCCTCCTCTCCTCTCTCTCCCTCTCCCCTCCTCTCCTCTCCCCTCCTCCCTCTCCTCTCCTCTCCTCTCCCTCCCCTCCCCTCCTCTCCCCTCCCCTCCCTCTCCCCTCCTCTCCCTCTGCCCTCCCCCTCCCCTCCCCTCCCCTCCCCCTCCTCCCCTCCCCTCCCCTCCTCCCTCCTCCCCTCTCCTCTCCCCTCCCCTCCTCCTCCTCTCCCTCCCCTCCTCTCCCTCCTCCCCTCCCCCTCCCTCTCCCCTCCTCTCCCCTCCCCTCCCTCCCTCCTCTCCCCTCCTCTCCCTCTCCTCCCTCCCCTCCTCTGCCCTCCCTCTCCTCTGCCCTCCTCTCCCTCCCCTCCCCCTCCCCCTCCCCTCTCCCCTCCTCCTCCTCTCCTCTCCCCTCCTCCCTCTCCCTCCTCTCCCCTCCCCTCCCTCCCCCTCCCTCTCCCCTCCCCTCCCTCCCTCCCTCTCCTCTGCCCTCCTCCCTCCCTCCCCTCCCCTCCTCTCCTCCTCCCTCTCCCTCCCTCTCCCTCCTCCTCCTCCCCTCCCCTCCTCCTCCCCTCCTCTCCTCTCCCTCCCCTCCCTCCTCTCCCCTCCTCTGCCCTCCTCTCCCCTCCTCCTCTCCCCTCCTCTCCCCCTCCTCCCCTCCCTCCTCTGCCCCCCTCCCCTCCCTCCTCTCCCCTCCCCCTCCTCCCCCTCTCCCCTCCTCCTCCCCCCCCGTTACCCGTTGGTTCCTACCGGGTGATGACGATGTTTCTCCTCCGTGTTGTGCTTTAACCTGTTAGCAGGTCCCTGTCGACGTCCCTCCGGTTCCAACGGTTGCTAACGGTTGCTAACGGCTCCTAACGGCTGCTAACGGCTGCTAACGGCTGCTAACGGCTGCTAACGGCTCCCAACGGCTGCTAACGGTCACAAACTTCAGCCTCAGCGCGCGGTAACCGTCTTCATGTCCCTCGCGGTGCGCTGGCTACGACCGCCGGCCTGCTAGCATCCCGTTGAGCCGCCGGTACCGAACCGGAACCGAACCGGAACCGCGAATATAAACAAACAGAGGCAGCAGCCTGAATCACTTTGCTAGCTAGTTAGCTGGGTCCAGCTGTTGTTATGGTTCCGGGTCACACCGGAAACGGAAGAACTCGCGAGAGCGCCCCTGCTGGTCACCGTCAGTTATTACAAAGATTGTCTGTTAACAGATGAACCACTCTGTAAGAAATAATAATAATAATAATAATAATAATAATAATAATAATAATAATAATAAAGAAAATATTAACTAAAACTAATACAACTCATAATAATAATAATAATAATAATAATAATAATAAAGAAAATATTAACTAAAACTAATACAACTCATAATAATAATAATAATAATAATAATAATAATAAAGAAAATATTAACTAAAACTAATACAACTCATAATAATAATAATAAAATAATAAAAAAAAAAATAAAAACTAAAAAACAAAAATAAGAAAATATTAACTAAAACTAATAAAATTCATAATAATAATAAAGAAAATATTAACTAAAACTAATAAAACTCATAATAATAATAATAATAATAAAGAAAATATTAACTAAAACTAATAAAACTCATAATAATAATAATAATAATAATAATAATAAAGGAAATATTAACTAAAACTAATAAAACTCATAATAATAATAATAATGGCGTGTCAACGGTGGCACATTCAGAAGCGGCGGTGTGTTTATGTGTTTTAATTTACTATATCTTCAACTATAACAAATCATTTATTTATTTATTTATTTATTGTGTTTTTAAATGTAGCACCAAGGGAACTATATCTGAAGTTATTTATATTTCTTTCTTCTTATTTTAAAAAATATAAAACAGCACCTTCTCTCACAGGCTGCTCCGCTGTGGAAGGGACAGATACAGGAAACCTTTCCTGCCACAATAACAGCTAAAACTCTGCTCATAATAACAATAACAACAACAATAATAATAATAACAATAATAATAATAACAATAACAACAACAATAATAATAATAACAACAATAACAACAACAATAATAATAACAACAATAACAATAATAATAACAACAATAATAACAACAATAACAACAGTAACAACAATAATAATAATAACAACAATAACAACAACAATAATAATAACAACAATTACAATAATAATAACAATAATAATAACAACAATAATAACAACAAACAATAATAATAACAACAATAACAATAATAATAACAACAATAATAACAACAATAACAACAGTAACAACAATAATAATAATAACAACAATAACAACAACAATAATAACAACAATAACAATAATAATAACAATAATAATAACAACAATAATAACAACAATAATAATAATAATAATAATACAGTCTCCAAGCACCTTATATGTTTCTGTCTGTTCACTGCACCTGATATTTTTTTATTATTAATTATTATTACTCTCTCTCTCTATCTATCTCTCTATCTATCTATCTATCTATCTATCTATCTATCTATCTATCTATCTATCTATCTATCTATCTATCTATCTATCTATCTATCTATCTATCTATCTATCTATCTATCTATCTATCTATATTTATATCTGGGAAAAATTAAAGTGAGAATGAAATGGAAACATTAAAGAACAAAGCTAAAAAAATAGCTATATATATAATATATAATATATATTTATTATATGTTATATATATATAATATATAATATATATTTATTATATGTTATATATATATAATATATAATATATATTTATTTTAGGAGGAAAAACTAGTAAATGCAACAGATAATAAAAATGGAGTCTAGATTTATAGATGTTGTATCTAAAATAATTATTATGATGATAATATTCCATTAAAAATAATTACTGATACATTTTATGGTTAATTAATTTTTTTAAATAAATAGTTTGATACAAAATGCCAATAAGATGAATCGATTTGTCTGATAACGTGTCAATAAGTGCTGACCGGACGTTGTCACGTATTTCCTGAGTGAGTCATCTTGTTTCCGAGAGACGATCTTTGTCCGGAGAAGACGGAACCTTCTGGCACCGAGCGCACGCGAGAGCCGCCGAACGGCCGTTAAGTTGACCGGAACACAACCGGAAGTTAGACGGTCTGGCATTCAAATTAAAAGCATATAAAGTGCGACTGTTGGGCCACGTCCTCTAATAATAAAGTTCCAGATGTAGTTTCCTGCTGGAATAAGGAAACCTGGACTGGAAGAAAATACCTTCTAAATATTTTATTCTAAATATGGAAGTGATTTGTTTGTTGTTTGTTTTTATTGACAAACATAAAAAGGACATGAACTGGCTCCAGAAGATTTATCTCATTTATTTTGGTCTCGTTGGTTTTTGTTCTTTATGTAAAGATGTTTGTGTTTTTATTCCCCAGTATATTGTTTGTGATTTTAAATGTTTAATATGAAAATTTATTGTTTGGCTTTTTGTTGTTGTTGTTGATGTTCAGCGTTAAGTTCTCAGTTCAACACAATATGAAGTGAGACAGCAAATTATATTGATAAATCCATCCAGTTGGTTGGTTGTCTAC